CTAACAATAAGCCATGATAATGAGAGTATAAACAACAGAGAGATGTATTAGATTAAAATGTATGTTTAAGAATATGGCTCGTATAGAAGCAAAATTGACAAAACTTAATTGTGATATAGATTAGAATATTTTGTACTAACTACGATAGTGAATTGTAACAAGTAAAAGTACACAGATAAGATTAAAGTGAAAAGTATGAAATTGAGGGTTGTAAACGATTATCTTTTTTTAAGAAAAGTGAAATTTAGCTTCTAAATTGAGACCAGCTCGTTTTTTGATCTGTGTTTTGGACTGAATCTCTGAGTTTTTGTTTGTTTATTTGATTTGGATTTTTGATGGTTTTTTTGCGATTGTTTACTTAATTTGGTTTATTTTATTTTCCCAGGGATAGAGGAGATAATCCACTGATATTGATTTGATGATTTTATGTTTAATGCATACATTTCTTTGTTTTTAATAATTTTTTGAAGGTTTTTTTTGGATTTTTTTTTTTTTTTTCTTTTTCCACTTTATTGATTGATCAATTGATGTGATCACATGTGACTTATGTGTTCAAAGGGGAGGTGTTAGTATTAGATAGCAATATGGGCCTACGTGCAGGACAGGTGGTAACCACGGACTCTACAAGGACTCCATAGTTGGTTACTACTTGATTTGACTGTCTCTTTGGACACGAATGTCTTTCGATGTGTGACGTGACAATGACTATATAAACTGTGTACTGCCTTTATTCTGTCTGAAACAGAGTTAACCAAACAGAGAAACTTAAATAAACCAGTGGACCCGATGTCTCTTGAGAGAAACTTAAAGACATTAAAACTTCCAGAGTTTTGCTGCACCACCAAGTAGAGTGATCGTCTCTGTTCTGCTTAAGATGTTCCTAAAAACGTAAAGCAATTGAGTGTCTTACCATTCCATTCGTATAATCTTTGTACTGAGGTCTGGATTTGCTCCATTGTTAACAGGTGGGAGGGGTAAAACGCCTTTTGCAGTTTGAAACCATTTGGATCTGAGTTTTACCGTGACGTATGTAATGAGCCCGAGTGAGTGAGGCATTTAGAAGAGTGTAGCCATATAACTTTGCCACTGACGGAGCCCGTGGGGAGTAGAGCACAACATCTTTGCTTCACTGCACATTTACCTAAACATTCCTCTTGCTCCGGCTTCTGTTTCTTGATATTTGGACTGACCAGAAACAGATTATTTTACTGTCGGGAATCTCCTCATGGTCGAGTTTACACATTGGATGAGCAGGAGTTTTTTCTGGTTAAAACCAAGACTAGCATTGACCATTCTGTGACCCTCGTGAGTTTGGACAATCAACAATAATCAGGTATGATGATTGATTGTAAAACAGAAATAGTATTTGAGCGCATGATTCAACACAGCAACTTAGAAAAAACATTCAGTAGGAATAGCTTTAACCGTGAGCAGTAGCTGAAATCCAGCCCGTACAAACACATCTCGGCCCAGATCTGACCTGTATCCTCGTGGGAACAGATGCCGGGGAAAGCTCATCCATTCAGCGAGGGAAAGGCCGTGTCTTGATTATCTCCGGAGAAGAGTTGCATCCATGTTCTGATTGATCTACGTTCCCACCTGAAGTCTAAAGTTCAAGAGTGACATTTTACACTTTTCTACCTCAGAAAAAAACCCTCGCTCAATCCATTCTGTGTGCAAGGACTTTCTTCCCTGGGTTTTTTCTCTCTCCTGAGCAGATCTTATAGCTCCTGGCACTGCCGGCCTGCAAAAATTAATACAGCACCCTCCCCCTCCTCATCACATACATCATATAATAAAAAAAATATCACATAATAACAATGCCACAGATGACCCAACTACAGGCGTGAGGCTGGACGAATGAAATGTGAGCAAGCCCGAAAACTAGGAACTAGTGTTAAGCCCAGCAACACCCCGGACACCACAGTATAAAAGACCCCCACCTTCCCCAACGCCGTCCTCGCTAACTACTTTCTTCTGGCCTGTTCTGTGATACCCCAACATTATTGTACATTTAAGCTCACTACCATATCGTGTAATATTTGTCTAAACAGTGGTATAAGTCTGTATTACTGTCTGTACCTCCCCCCTCGCCATGCCCCCCAATGTCTTTTTTCTGTATAATTTAGAATGTATTGTTTTGTCCATGCTGGTTGTTGCCATATGTCTCTTTTTGGTCATAAGTTATAGGTAAGGGTTTATGCTTTCTATAAGTGTTTCCCTACAGCCTAAACCAGTGTGACCAAAGTTTTAGTTGGAAACCCCTTTACTTTTGTCATCTTTTGTTCATCAGACTTGATCTGGGACCGACAACCTGGGAATTAAAAAAAAAACTGGATTGGAGCGGATTGACCGGATTTGGGAAATTAAATGGGTTTGATCCGTCCTTATTGATTCCCAGCTTTTTTTTATGTTGTGTAAACAATTATAAAATTATTGTCAGTAATATAATAATATTGGTGGAGCTGAAGTTGGTTGGATGACACTGTCAAAGAGCCTCTAAGGCGTCTTTGTTTAGAAGGGACAAGAGAATATCCAGAGAACGCAATTGGCCCACGGGCCTGAGTTTGGACATGCCTCTGGCTAGGCAAGAAACATCTCAAAGTCAATCTGCATGTTTTGTAGCAGTAGTAGTAGTGCAGTAGCAGTCAGAAGTAGCGTCAGCAGTGGAGTAGTAGCAGTAGTAGTAGCAGTTGTAGCAGTAGTAGCAGTAGCTGTTGTATTTAGAACGAAGCCTATGGTAACGTTCAGCCACAGTATGGTGTATCGGTGCTTCCCTGGTTTTGTGTGTGGAACAGTTAGATTGAGAGCACTTGAGACGTCTCATTAACTGTTTCTATGATCTGTAAATTTCAATTTCATCAGATTGTTTATATCCACGTAAAGTAGTAACAGGAAGTCACAGACAAAGAAACTGCTTTGCTCTCGGTGACAAACAAGCAAAAGTAGAGAGTAGAAGGCATAGAGTAAGGCAATAGTAAGAATCAACTACTTTGTGAAATGTAAAAGTTTCAAATGATTACAATTATTTTATGTAACTGTAACTTCTGTCAATAAAAAGAGGTTGTAAATCTCAGTGGAATTTCCTGGTTAAATAAAGGTGAAATAAAAACACAAACACATGTAAGACTCACATAACTTACAATAACTTTAGGTTTTTCAAAAAAATTAAGATTTAGAGTTTGGAGCAGAATATTAATTCAAGTGAAAGTGGTGCATGAATGCATTTACCTCTTGAGAACCAGTAGAAGAGTTTTCCTCATCTTCATTTTCTGTGAAATTTTTATCGTGTATGACCTTTAGTGTAATAACAGAGAAAGTGTTACTCAAAGTGAAGAAAAATTACACACACTTACTTTATTTTACTGAAAGTTCACACACAGACAACTGTGAAGTGAAAGCAAAATGATACATGATTGTTATTGTTCAAAAAATTTAAAAGTGGGGCGTGCGTAAGTATTCATACAGCCTTTTTTTTTCTGAGTGCATTAAATTGCCTTTATAACATTCCTAATGACTGCAGAAAGTTCACACCTTGCCCTAACCATTAAATAGAGGCCACCTGTGTGTAATCTACTCTCAGTATAATTCCAGCTGTTCTGTGAAGGCCTCAGAGCTATGGTCAGAGTGTATTGGTCACTAAGCAACATCGTGAGATTTCCCAAGATTTGAACATGTCACGGAGCACTGTTCAATCCATCATTCGGAAATGGAAAGAGTATAGCACCACTGCGAACTTACCAAGACACGGGCGTCCACCTAAACTAACAGACATAACAAGGAGAGCACTGGTCAGGAATGCAACCAAATCTACACAAATCTGGCCTTCATGGACGAGTGGCAAAAAGAAAGCCATTATTGAAAGGAGGCCATAAGAAATCCCGTTTGAATTTTGCTAGAAGTCATATGGAGGACACAGCTACCATGTGGAAGAAGGTGCTTTGGTCAGATGACACAAACATTTAACTTTTTGGCCCAAATGCAAAACGTTATGTATGGAGCAAACGTAACATTTCTCATGGTCCTGAGCGCACCCTCCCCAGTGTCAAATATGGTGGGGGGAGCATGCTATGGGGCTGCTTTTCCTCAGCGGGGACTGGGAAGATTGTAAGAATAGTTGGGAAGATGGATGGAGCCAAATACAGAGACATTTTGGAGGAAAACCTACTGGAGTCAGCAAGAGAACTGAGGCTGGGGCGGAGATTCACCTTCCAGCAGGACAATGACCCTAAACACAAAGCTACATCTACAATGGAATGGTTTAAAAACAAACATTAATGTGTTAGAATGGCCCAGTCAAAGTCCTGACCTAAATCCTATTGAAAATCTGTGGAAAGACCTGAAAACTGCTGTTCACAAACGCTCTCCTTCTAATTTGACAGAGCTTGAGTTGTTTTGTAAAGAGGAATGGGCTAAAATGTCAGTCTCTACATGTGCAAATCTTGTAGAGTCAAACCCCAGAAGACTTGCTGCTGTTATTGCAGCAAAATGGGGTTCTACAAAGTATTAATTCATGCTGTATGAACTTTTTTTTCTCTATTTTTTGTAAAATAACAGAATCATGTATCATTTTGCTTTCACTTCACAGTTGTCGGTTACTTGTGTGTGAACTTTCAGTAAAAAAATTCAAAATAAATGTTTTGTTTATGGCTGTAAACATGACAAAAGTTCAAGGTGTACCTTAAAAATACCATACGCGTTTTGTAAGTATTTGAACAAAGTTTTTTTTTGTTATACCTAGTGTTTTTCAAAAAGAACCTTAAAACAAGGACTTTATGATGTCAAAATGCAATGCAAAAAGACTCAGATTGGATTCTTTTTGCATTGAAGTGTCATTCTGTAGACTAATATGGCGGCGTCTAGGCACGTTGTTCATGACGTTGCTTTTGCCAACTCAATTTCTGTAAACCATTAATAGTTTCACAGAAATACTTACATTGACCCAATACACTTTAGTTGCCCTTAACTTTCATAAAGCATTGTAAAACTGCAATACTGACCACATTTTGCAAGGAATCATCATCTTCATTGTTTTCTTCATTGGGGACAGCCTCCTTGCGTCTCTGCATTTGAAGAAATTACCGACAGTCACAATGCAGCTATAATGACATGTTGAAACAGATTAAAGCAAGAGCTACATTTTCATAATGTATCTTATTTAGATTACGTTAGTACCACTAACACCTTGCCTTATAAACAAACAAGAAGAGTCGGCTGGATAATACAGTGAAGACAAAGAACAGAATGCCTGCCCGCAGCCCGCTGCTATTCATGGCTACGGCCACGTACACAGGCCGTGGACTGGGGAGCTGGGGTGTCACGTTCAATGCATTAGACGGAGCTAACTAGCTCGGCAAAATTAAATTGGAGGCATTCAGCCATTACATGTTAGAACAATTGGAATTTGTGTTTTGACAGGGTCTATAGAACAGTCTTCTTTGCGATTCCATTCTCCTTCTGATAAATTGTCAAGATTCCAGTGAACATGGACGCCACTGTTTCGCTTTTCACAGACATTTTTTTAATGTTCATTTCAAGCACGTAGGCTTAATGTTGTTTTAAACTGATCATGTCATAATGCTACACAAACCTAATCCCCAATATTTAATCTAAATTTTATCCGTTTTTTAACTTCACAATAGTTCATAAACAAATGTCTTCCAACTCCAGGCCATACCCTTAACCAGACAACTATATCAAATACACGTGAAATAGATCGACAGCATCGTAGACACTTTGTTTAGCTTTTGCTAATTAGCAACATAACTTACTTTTGCTAGCTTCCATCTGTTCCGTGTTCTTTTCGGGATTCGTTCTGTGCCATCCTCCAAATACTTCTTGTAGGATCCCGAACGTTTTGCCATGATTTACGCTACGAAAATGTGAGAGCATTCTCCATTATGGACGTTTCTTCTCGCTGCCTTCTCCTTTCCCAGCGTTCATTTGGGCACATGTAGTCTCGCGGTACTACACGTGCTACGATCCGACGTACACTGAGCTGCGCACATCTCGCGAGAGCCTATTCGCGCTCTTGAATTGTAACCGTTCGCGCTCTTGGCGGTGAAGGAAAAAAAAGGGAGCTAATCAACGAAATAATTATCTGTAACCATGGCTTATGCTATTTATTACTTTAAAGACAAAGCTGTAGAGGTGGGAAAAATACAATGGATGAAGGAGGAAGACCAAAAGGAAATGTCATCCAAAACGTTTAAAGAGTGCCCTAATCTGGAGGATGAAGATGGCTGGGTAAATGTGCAGTGGCGACCCGGACAGAAGGGGAAAAAAGACGGCCAATTGAGTTTTCCTGCCAAGATTCTAATGATCAGTGGTCAGTATATGTGTGATTTATAATTTATATATTTATTTAAACAAAATAACTTTCCAGGAAAATAATTTTACAACACAGTAATTGGCTTGTTACACGTTTTTTGCGGGGCATTAAAAAGCATAAGTCATTGCACGACTTTGGGTCACTTTAATGTCATTAAAAAAGTTATTTTGCCTGTGAAAAATTTGAGTGGACACGTTCATTATTGTACATTTTTGTATCACATTGCACTCTGATGATTTTTCTCATAGACAATTACACTGATCTGTGTAAAAAGAGGGAGGGATTCATAAAAGGCAAGGATATCTGGGAAATACCTAAAGGTAACGATAAACGGAGGAGAACACCAAACAGCAAGTGGATGGACAAAGAGCAAGAGCCTGATAGTCAATCCAAAAAGGTAAAACATTTAGAAAAAAGTTTGAATACATAGGAAGCTCTATCATACACCTCATGTCATGTAAATGAAAATCTTTCCTATATATTCAAATGATTTTTGAGTCCCTCAACAAAAAGGAATGTTGTGTAATATTAATATATTGTGACCATATTGTTAACATGATGGTCAATGTTTCAATTTGCCTTGACTGTATCTATTAAAATTATAGCTCTATATGCTAATACGCATTTCATATTTACTGTCATACATTGAAGCACTTTGCAAATACTAAAATGTAAAATATCTCTTTGGCAGCAAAAAAAAACAAAAAATCCTCATCATCCTGTCCAGCAAAAGAGGCTTCAAACCAAATGATTGAAGACTTGAAGAAAGATCTAATGGAACAGCAAGCCTTGGAGGTAAATTGTATATTTATTGTTTAATTTAGGAAATAACTTGGTATTGAGGCTGCAGACAAGATCATGTTTTTCACCGCAAGTTGCCGTTAGTACCATATATTGGATCATAACACAATTCTGTACTGACACAATAAGGGAAACAAAACACCTTGAGGAATCATCTGCCCATCACAATAACATTTAAAAAGCAAGCACTTTTTGACCATAGATGTCTTCATTTTATCTTGATGTTATTGTGCTTGTGTTTTTGTGTCTTGTAGTTACGTTCTGAATGTGACGAAACATCGGATGAGGACCATGAGCCTCCCAGGAATTGGAGCAGTACACTGCGTCAAATCAAGCAATTAAAATCTGAGAACAAAAGGCTCAAAGAAAGCAATTATAAACAAATTGTAGAAGCAATCAGGGGTAAGTTTAGTTGTTTTGTTTTGTATTTTTAGCAGGGGAAAAGTATTTTCATGTGAAAACAGGATCAACTTTATTGGAGCTCAAAGTAGCTAAAAAATTTTTTTCTAAAGATTCAGATTTCTAAAACTTGCACAAATTCACCATCTTATTTTATGTCACTTTTCTTAATTGCAACAGGCGTATGGCCATTTCTTTATGTCCTAAATGGGAACATTCCAAGACTGAGCGTTCCGTAGAACTCTGCCTCATTATTTTCTCATTCATACAGTATGATTACCTCTTCCTCTGTCCTAAGTAGTGCTAAACCACCACCGTAAATGACAAAGGTTTTTTCTCTGTTAGTGTTGCATTAGCTACCGTGTTAATCACTCCATTCAGAGTCCTGGGCTGCGTACTGGTCACAGAAATCCTCCTTTCATGTTAACAAACTCCTCACTAAAATCTGACGGGACTGTGTTAGTACCCTACACAGAGATGAAGATGAGCCAATTGTGCTGCTTGTATAGAGTAAAAAAAAATATGCAATTTTAATTTTTACAAAATCATTCAGCCCTAGTCCCAGGCCATGATCAATAACAATGATAATAATATATTAGTGATCAAGATATTTATTTATTTTTGATTAATAATTAATCTTAACTATAATTGTGTTGATTATATTCTTGTGAAAAAATCTAATGTGGCGTAAGCATTTTAAAGAAACATGTACTGAATGTTTCTGTTCTCTTTACAGACCTGCCAGCTGTTGTTCAAAACTTAAGACACATAACTGAGCAGCTTTCATCGTTCTCAAAGTCTTCCTCTGCCGAATCAACACCTGTGCGACTAGTGCGATCTGAACACTTGCCTGTATCCTCTCCTGCATCTCCTCAAGAGGAGTCTGTTGACATGGTAATATAGGAATGTTTACAAAATGTTCTTAATTTGGCTAGTGTAAAGCTCTTGGGGTAGATTATGGCTCATGTCACACAGTGCCAGATAATCAGTTGGTGGCACTCTTCCAATTAAAATACAAGACCATCTCATCGACAACCTGTTTTAAAACACATGCACGGTTGGAATGGAGGAATTGACTTTTCGAAGAACCAAATAGTTAAGGTGGGGTGGACTGTATGTAGGGTTAGCTCTTAGGGTTTAACAGTGGTGGATCGGTCAGAATGCAGGAGGGACGGAAGAGACTGGAGTCCAGGTTCACGTTCCAGCAGGGTTTAATCTGGCTGAAGTGAATGTATTTTACAAGTCTGTAACAACAGAACAATGTGGAAAAAAATTAGGTCTAACAAGTTTAGCAGAACAATCATACAAGGTAAATAATAAATAAATACATAAAAGTGATTATCTGGTCTACTGTAAAATGCTAATACCCTGAAAGGATAATAATTTACTTTTGAGGTGCAAGACAGCTGAAAATTCCATGATGGTACAGTAACTATGGTAACTGGCAAACTGCAGATTTCTTTGTCTTATTTTGTGGCTAATATCTCACTCATTACTGGGAAAATCCACATGAAACAGAAACTGTCTCAAAGTTTATTGTCTTCTCTGTCAGCACATATAAACTAATGTCCGATTATCTCTGAAAAGCATCCAAAAGTGGAGACAATATTAAAAAAAAAGGGGGCGTGATGTTGGTCAAAACGACTTTAGAGTTGTATTGGCCCCTGCCCTCCACCTGACATTATGACATCATCACTTTGTAGAACATGAACGCCACCTATTGCAAATAACTTTGTTGTTTTACAGGTGTCTCTGGTGCCAGGCTCAGACATCAAAGTCAACAAAATGAAGCTGAACTCTCTCCGAACTTCAAATTCGTCAGTTTATGTTGGAGACCTTGCTGTCCTAATCTTTGGCAGAGAAACGCTGGCTAGCTCAAGTCTGACCGGGAGACAGTCAGCAGCACATAAAGATGTGGAGTCCAAGCCGCAACTGGATGCTGCTAAATTGGATGCCATTGTTGGTGAGTATACTTACGTACTTTTAAATATTTAAATAAATTGTACGTTACACCGTTGCTTTATTCTCCATTGTTGTTTTGATGTACGTAGCACGAGCGGATAAGATAACACCAACACATAAATATTTTATCTTTCAGATAAAATATTTATGTGTTGGTACTTTGTGTCAAATGTTTGAAAAGCACTGGTCAAGATACCTTGTTCTGATCCTGTCTGTGGCCTCACTCATCCTGTGCTGCATATTTGCCAATCAATACGTTTTTCATCATCGGTGGGTGTACAGTTAGAGCATTATATGCTTACTTTTTATTAATTAATTATATCAAAATTAACTTATCTATTGTGATCAATCAAAATGTAAAAGTCTGCTTAATCTCATGTTCAAAAAAATGATTCACAGCAGTATTATTAATTCAGGTATGAACTGTTAAGATTTTGTGGTGTCAGAGTTCACCTCTGCACCTTCTCCATTGACTCCCACTGATGACTGCTGTCGTTGTGTCCTTGGGCAAGACACTTAACCCCACTTTGCCCAAAGCCCCCACTGAAAGATCAAGGCTATGCTCACACTCAGAGAGCAGCCGTCCTCCTGTGGACTCACCACCTGCAGAGGGTCAGTGAGGGGCTGGTGCTATGAGACTTGGGTGGCATCTCTGACTGCCACCCCCCTGACCCAGAAATGGATTAAAGGGTAGAAAATGGATGGATGGAGTTCATCTAACTGTTCATATTTTTGTTTTTGTGTTCACAGGGTACGCTCGGTCGAGGTTTCCATCTTTGAGCGTTCAAGATATAAGAAAAATAATAAGAAAGAAGTGCAACAATGAAAACTTCAAAAAAGGATCAACGGCCAAGCAAGTGGATGCTACACAGAATTAAAATCCATATCTGTTTTTGTTATAATGTTCAATTTGTAAAATTCTCACTGTAGGTTGAATAAATTTAAACAAAATGACTTTGCTATGTTCTTCTTTTCTCAGCATAAAGGTGAAATGGGAAATAGTGGACTTGATTATTAAGAAGTACACTACAAGTACACTTAAAGATTACTTTAAGTATACTACGAAGTATACTTTGAAAGATAGAAGTATACTCAATTATATCAGAAGTACACTACAAGTACACTTAAAGATTACTTTAAGTATACTACAAAGTATACTTAGAAAGATAGAAGTATACTCAATTATATCAGAAGTACACTACAAGTACACTTAAAGATTACTTTAAGTATACTACGAAGTATACTTTTAAAGATAGAAGTATACTCAATTATATCAGAAGTACACTACAAGTACACTTAAAGATTACTTTAAGTATACTACAAAGTATACTTTTAAAGATAGAAGTATACTCAATTATATCATAAGTACACTTAAAGATTACTTTAAGTATACTACAAAGTATACTTTCAAAGATAAAAGTATACTTAATTATATGAGAAGTACACTACAAGTAAACTTAAAAGATTAGTTTGAAGTATACTTTTGGGTTACTTTAGAGTATACTTGAAGTATACTGCAAGTGGGCCAATTTAGTCCCAAGGAGTATACTTGTAGTACAAGTATAAGTATACTTGGGCATATATACTTATATATACTAAAGTAAACTTGATATTATATACTTGAAGTATACTTCTTTTTGGTAAGGGAGAGGGGACATGATGGAAGAGGCCGGACCCAAGTCCTGCCTGATACGACACGCCCCCTGCTTCCTGAACATGGACTGATAATGCTCTGGCTTGAGAGGACACAGGAGAATGAGCCGAGGGCGAGCCAGGGACATGCATAGTTTTAGGAGCCCTCTTTGTTGGAATTTCTGTATCTGATTGTAAAGATAATTAAATACAGATGTTAAAACTTGGAGCTCTGTTGTCATGCCTCTGCATCAACTCGAACACGTCAGTCAAGGGAATTATTGACTTCACTACCCGTCGAACAAGAGGAGGTCAAGCTAACTCCAAAAGGTGGGCTGTAATGTTCTTATGCATGTCAACAAGAGCAGTTCATATCGAGTTAATTGAAGCAATGAGCACGGACAGTTTTATCAATGCTCTGAGGCTACTTTTTGCCATTAGAGGCCCCGCAAAACAAATAAGATCTGATTGCGGCACAAACTTTGTCGGCGCAGCTCGAGAACTGAAAATGAACAAGCCAGATCTCTCTGTCAAAGATCTTGAACCTTTCCTGAGTGAACAAAACTGTTCATGGGTCTTCAACCCACCACACGCTTCCCATATGGGTGGGGCCTGGGAACGGATGATTGGGATATCCAGGCGCATCCTCGACTCCATGTTCCAGGACAATAAAAAAGCACTCTTAACACATGAACTGTTATCAACATTTGTGGCTGAAGTGTCTGCTATCATGAACGCTCGCCCTCTAGTGCCCGTGTCCACTGACCCTGATTCGCCACTTATCCTCACACCGTCGATGCTGCTCACAATGAAAACAGGATCAGCAGCACCCCCTCCTGGCAACTTTGAAAATGGGATACATCTAAAAGAACAATGGAAAAGAGTCCAAAGTCTTGCCGAAGCGTTCTGGTCTAAATGGAGACGAGAGTATCTTCACACACTGCAGTTGCGCCACAAATGGCAGGACAAGAAACAAAATCTCAAAGAAGGAGATATTGTTCTACTCAAGGACTCTCAATTGAAGAGGAACGAGTGGCCAATGTCAATCATCACCAAAACTTTTCCGGGAAAAGATGGACTTGTCAGGAAAATAGAAGTAACCACTTCTCGCGCAGGAACAAAAAAGACCTTTTCTCGCCCCGTAACAGAGGTGGTTTTGCTCCTGTCCCCCGAGCAGTCTAGCATCTAATTACAGTATTTGAATGTGGGTTAATCCCAGACGGGGAGTGTTATGTTTAGTTTTTTGTATGTTCATTCTTGCTAATCCGCCCTCTTCTGGCCGTTTATGGTAATACCCTTTTTGTGATAGTAGAAGAAGAAAGTTAACAGGAAGTAGCTCAGTCTTCACTACAGGAAACTGTCAGCCCGTTTTTTGCTCCTGGTCTTGTTTACTTTGGTGTTTGTTAAAGCATTGTCTGTGAGTATCATACAGTGACACATAAGCACCTTTCTTTTGTAATGCTTATGAGTTTTATAGTAACGTTTTGGGTTGTATCTACTGTTGTATTGATATGCTAATTAGATCGCGATTCATATGCTAATTACGGGAGCTAACCGCTAACCGTTGCTATTCACAATTCTATGTACAACCTTTCTTGGCTTTAGATTTGTTGTCTTTAATTTTAGTCATCACATATAATAATTGTATATGTATCTGTTTCATTGTTACAGTTTCACAATATTGGATCATTAAAGTTCTCCTGAAGAGTTTCTGCATCTATGTTTAGCTGCTTGGATAGCTAGTTTGGTAACTAGCGAGGCCATTTACAGGCATTTTTGGATTGCATCTATATATATATGTGTGTGTATATATATATATATATATATATATATATATATATATACACAGACATATCACCAGAATGATTGACAATTGGGAGGGCCAATGATTGTCTTGAAGATCACCAGAAGTAGAACATCCTCCTAATTAATACACAAGAATCATATGCAGAACATAAAAAAATAAATATAAAAAACTGAAATGCCAAACTAACAACAATCACAGGGTTTAACTGTATGCGAGACACAGGTGAAATAAAATTGGCCAACATTGAAGATGCAGCATTTTAGCAATTGAGAATAGTGAAAAGATCAGAAAACTCTTGTGTAAAAATGTAATGTGACTTAGCTTGAGCTGTTTTGCAAAGAAGAATGGGAATGTGAATGTCTCTAGAGTTTTGCATGTTTGTACACTATGAACTGTAAATGTAGCATAAAGGGATTCCACAAATGAAGTCAGGTTCTTTATTTGTTTTATCTAAAAAAGAAATAAAATGGAAATATTGATGGGGTATAAACACTTTTTCAAGGCACACTTTATATTTCAATGCTGAATTTCATTTGAATTCTGTCTCTGGTCAACTTTTGTTGGCATACTTTAGACATACAATAACATTCAAACATTTATTTAGAGAGATGTATTTGAGAGCTCAGCTCTCAACAAATGAAAGGTTTGTCTTTCCTTGTTTGCCGCCATCTGCCAAGTTCACTTGCACATTGTTTAACAGAAACTTGAATAGAAAAGGTAAATTAGTCATACATCTTTCATGATTAAATGTTTACAGTAACTTATACATACTCTTTGCTTGATGAGTGTGTACACGTGAAACAGAGTTGTGTCTTCTTTCTGTAAAGTAAGCCTTGATTCCATCTTTTGTTTTGTTCCCCCTGCAACATACCACATTAAGAAAAGTAAAAGGAGGAAAACTATTTCCACTATTTTCATTTATACATAATCCCAACTTGTCCCACAAGAAAGATGTGATTAGTAACCAGACAAAAGTCCTCTACCGTTAGTATAGCGATAAGAAAGAGCCCAGTCGCTAATTGACGCTTTTGGCTAAATCTTTTGTTTCGAGAGATAAGAATATTTGGATAATCATGATTCACTCAATCAGCATGACGGTCTCCCTTGAGAGAATATTGTTTAAAAGTTACATACCTCAGCTTTATTGTCAAATCAATAAATCAACAGAAACTGTACAGTTTTGATGTATAGTATTTCAATGCTTGAATATTTTCTTTACCTGAAAAGAAACTGACGAAAAGGCCCATACAGACAACAGTTATGGTTCCAATGGGACTGAAATACATGTATGACATGGAGTACCACTTCATCAGAGAAGACCTAAAAAAACAAAAGTACCAATATCTTTGCACAGAGAAGAAATATAGTGATATAATGGCATGGCTAAAAAGCATGCTTAATTAAAAGAAACACTAAAATAATATAAATTAACTCTGAAATGTATCCACAGTAAACAATCCATTCATCTTAATCACGGTTCAAAATACCTTGTATCCAAATCTTGCCAAACGGGAGAGGCTGCTGTTGTTGCGTAAGTAAAGTTTGGAAGTTTTGAATGTTCCATGGTGAAGTTACAGCCTACTGTGGTGAGGGGCAGGGGCCGTGTCAGTTCTTGCGGTGGAGGGTAAATGTGGGACCCAACAGAAACCCAGAGCGACGACGCAAACCCCGCCACGAGGCCAGACAATGCACCCTGGACAGTTTACAAAGGCATGCATAAACTGTAATCGTTAAAAGACAAAAAAGAAAACCACTGTGCAACGGAAATAAATGTAAACATACTTTAGAGTTGGCAATTGGGCAGAGAACACCCAACACAAAGAGGCCTAACAATGGACCTCCAATAACTCCAAATATACTGATGACCGCCTGTTGGGAAAAGAAAAAAAAACCATGCTATTAACGTAGCCGCGTGTGTGTGTTTGTGTTTATGGTTACTGTGCATGTTTGTTATAACATTTTTGTATTTTCTGAAATTGTTGAGTACATCGAACCTAAGAAGAATAGCTACAATATATCTCAGTGGCTAATGGGGATCTGAATATAAACAAACAAACACATCATTAGGCCCGAGCCCCGAACGGGGTAAGGGCCTATTGCTTTCACAATGGTGAATGCAAATGGTGGCAGTGAGTGACGGACGCGTCAACGTGACGGTTGCGTGTGTAAACTCAAACGCTTAAGAATGATGTATCATGTGCCATTGAAACCTATGTTTTTGCTCGAGAGACGTCGACAAATAAAATCCTTCTTTCTTTCTTTCTTTTTTCTTCTGCACTTTGAGCCTTAATTTGACCCCCTGAACATGCATGCAAACTTGCCAAATTTGTCCCAAAAATCAGACCTGGCAAAAATTTACATTTTGGTGTTTATTTTTATGGGACAAGTTTCGGAGGTCAAGTTTGTTGTAGAGCCATGAAATTCGGTACATATGTTCCTCAAGTCAAGACATGAAAAAAATGTTCTTATGGCCCCGCCCTCTGACAAACTAACCTGGCAAGAGCCAGATTGATGATTGTGTAGAACTCTAATGCGTTCTCCACAATATCAATCTGGGACTTCTGCAGGAGAATCCTTTCGGGGAAAGGAGGGATAAGCAGTAAAATACTTCAAGCTGATTGGGCGAAGTGACGCTGTGTGCCCGCCTACCAAGGTTTGACTTAAACCAATCCCGGTAACATCTTTGCCGTCCAGAAATGCACAAAGCGTTCATCTTTCAAAAAATAAATTGGAGATTCTGCTAAAACTGACTTGATAGCCTTAGCTACGCGTCCGTCCTCCTGCGTAGCCATGTTTGTTTTGCTTCGGCCCGGCACTTCTTGCTTTCGTCAAACCCGGATATCCCGCCCTAAACCCCCAGACTGGCGCGTGATTGGCTTGAACACCTAGATGTTCTACTCGAAAAGGGTTGGCGGGAGCGGGGCAAGATGTATTCTTGAGTGTTTGTGAACTCACAAATACCGCGAGAATTCAGCTTGCAGGCAAGTTACTGACATACAGGAAGCCCATACATTTCACTGCAAAATGGAAAAATGAACAGCAATAATTTTCATACATGTCGGTTGGAAAGCGACTCCGGCCGTTTCAGCTCAAAATCGCTCTGCATCATCTCAACACATGTACCATCAAAATGACTTCAGGGAATTTTGATCAGTGAAACGATGTTTGAGCAGCGGAACGGCCAAATGTGACCTTTTTTTTGCCTTTTTTGACAATAGAAAAATAGCTTGCGATTGCACGCATAAAGTCCCATTTGCACAAAATTTGAATTGGTTTTTCAACTTTTGGGTTTGGGTTAACTGAAAGTGTAAGACATCAAATTCCAGCATTAGCGCCCCCAACAGTTGAGTCATTTTCACACATGTCGGTTGGAAAGCAACTCCTCCTTGCCTCAAAATTGCTCCACATCGTCTAAACACATCTACTATCATTTTGATTTCAGCAAATTTTTATCAGTGAAACGTTGTTCGAGCAGCGAATTGCCAAAAAGTGGCATATTTTTTTCAGTTTTTGACGATGGAAAAATTGCTTTTGTTTACACAAACAAAGTCCAATTTGAAATTGGCCCATTAGCGCCACCTACAACAGCCAATTGAATACGCCTACGGGAGGGTTTTGAGGTCAAAATTGCTGTAGAGCCATAAAATTTGGAACGCATGTTCCTCAACTTAAGACATGAACACAAATGTAATATGGCCATAAATTTCATTGCAAAATGGAAAAATGAAAAGCAATAATTTTCATACACGTCGGTTGGAAAGCGACTCGGCCGTTTCACCGATTTGCCTCAATATTGCTCAACATAATCTCAACACATGTCCCATCAAAAAGAGGCATTTTTATTGCCATTTTTGACAAGAGCAAATTTGCTCCCGTTTGCACAAACAAAGTCTGATTTGCACAAAACTTGAATCCATTGTTCAACTCCAGGGTCTAGGCAAGCCCCGGGATCCAAGATGGCGCCCTATTCAAATTAATGGCTTGTGCTCAGTAGTGCATGGGACTTCATGGAGACCGGGAGATTAGCTGAACTCGCCTATATTTGGGCATCGTCTGGTCCTCCCGGTTCTGCGCAGTGGATTAGCGCAACGCATTGTGGGAGATACTGTATCTCCCATCATGCGACGCGCCAAACGTGCGTGTGTGGCTTTCATGCACGCGCACAGAGGGGCTCGGCCGCGCTCTGACCAATCAGAGCTGATCATCAGAGCAGCGGAAGAGCGGAGACAGAGCGGGAAGGCAGGGAGCAGAGTTTGTGGCTGTAAAGTGTGGATTTAAAGAAAACCGAAGGATTTAAGAATAAAAAAAGTTCAGGATGACAAGGGACACTAAAATCCCCACAAAATCCGATCTTTATGAAAGCTGTAGGCTCTCAGTCAGCTGAGGTCTGTTTTAATTTACATTGAGTTCTATGGGACTTTTTTCTGGGTAGCCCTCGTGAATTTAGTCTGCAGTACCACGGGCACCCCATGCGGGGTGCGGAGCGGCTTGGTGCGGGGCGGCGTGGTGCGGGGCGGCGTGGTGCGGGGCTGTGCGGCGCGGGGCTGTGCGGCGCGGCGGGGGCCGTTTGACGCCGCTTGCGGCTTTAATTTTCTATTCTATTTTCTATTGCTACTGAAATTTAAATAAGATAATCAATTAAAAAAAATAGCTGGCTGATAACAGAGCAATATCATGTCAGCATTGGCTAAATCTACAACATGACTACCTGCAAGATTCCTCCCATCAGCGAGGCCAGTGCTGCCATCCCAATGCACAAAATCCCATACAAAACACCTGTGAATACGTAAGATATCAACTCAATTTCTTCAAGTGAGAGTTTGGGAATGATTGTTTACTCACTGAGTCCTTTGGAAATGCAGGACAGATGCTTTTCTGACATATTTGTATTTGGCTTAATTAGATCTTCCACTGTCACAGCTGCCAAAGCATTAATGCTGGAAGACACTGTACTGAGGTAAACAAAAATCATGTATGAACATAATAATGACTTTTATAGACATTAAAAAGTCAGCAACACAATTTTAGTCCATAAGTGTTAGCAAATTATCTTTTTCTATAAATTCTGGTCATTTTTTATCAATAGGATTTTGTATTTATTATAGTAGACACAATAAGGTTACGTTAAAAGATTATGTAGGTTTTTAAAATAAATAAGTACTGAAAGGTCTGTTAAATAGAGTTCATTATATCTATTTATTTTAAGATTAACAATATTAGAAGATAATTTAGTTATAAATTAAATAAGTTATGTTTTATAACTCAACCATAAATTTGTTTCATTGTGCAAAAGGTGGATATCATTGAAGATTTTTTGATATGCATCTTGGACTGCTAATACTTGGAAATGCCTACCAAGCAAAACCAATTTGGGCACCTCTTTACAGTAATGGGTAGTTAAATGACACATGCTCCATGTGCCATCTCAATTGAGGTAAATGAGTACTTTAACCAGTCTTATGTATTTGACAAATGGCTAAATGTTTTACATATAGGGGCTGTCATCTTTTCCTTTATGGCCACTGAATGAAACATAGTTTTATATTTGTTCTGAGACTTCTTACCTCAATGATCCACTGTAGGCAGCTGCTACAAACAGCCCAGGAAGTCCAGGGTAGCCTGCTAAGATGTCCATGACCAAATGAGGCATTAACTGTAATAAAAGGTAATGTTAACTAGCTATTGACAGCAAACAATTCAAAAGTGGAAAATTATTTCTGAGTACAAGCATAACATAGCTGTGCTTAGAAAGACAATAAATCCAGACCTATTACAGTTGTTCTAGAAACAAATTTAAATGCTACATTCAAAATATAGTGGATGCTTATTTATTTATGATTATTTAGCTGATAATAATTAAAAGAAAAAATGAAAAGTTAATGGGTTAGACCTGATCTGGTGCTGAGATAAGTCCAATGGTCCAGGGGTCACAGCTCTTGTAGACAGAAAAGAGACATAATCCAGCAAAGACAGAGCAAAACATGATGCACCAGAGACCCAACAGGTTCACATACAGAGATCTAGGTGAGAACAGGAGATTATTATAAACTGTGCAGGTACATTCAAGATAATAAATACGTATAATAATAACATTAACACTATAACTCACAGTCTGGCATGAGTAAGACTTTTGCAGGAAATGTACCGTTGAACCTGGGCCTGATTGATCCCATAAATACTGGACCACACAAATGTTGAACCGATAGTAATAGTCCAGAAAGTGTGTCGCCTCAGAGGATTCATGTCAAAGCTAATACATTAAAAAAAACAATACAGTTATGCAGCGTTAGGATATTTTAACAATACTTTACAAGAGCTCATACTCCCAGAAGTTGAGTCTCCCTCCTTCTTGACAATCTCTGATAATGGGTAAGATGCCTCCCTGTAAAATCACAGTGCGGATAATGACAGCAAGGAAGCCCGCAAAGATGACACCGACCTAAGAACAATAAAAACAGATGTGATTTGAATTTTTGTTTAAGAGCATCAGTTGGCGAAGATCACAATTAACTATATTGTGCCGAGACGCTCACAGTCTAGACCCAGACCTGGGAAAAGTGTGACCCAGGTCCATGAATCCGGTTTCTATGTGGCCCTTGGACCTTTTCCCTTCTGCAAACTTCATACCCTCTCCCCCTCTTAAAATGAATGGGAATCAATACTTAATAAACATTTTCAACCTAAGAACTACAATGGCATGTTATACTTCATAACAAATATGAATTTACAAAAACATTCATCCGCCCAGAATACTTTGTCGTCTTTAGCTTTAGTCCAGCTTTGGTTCAATCCAAGCAATAACAGAAATTTAAAGTCAGTTGAAACATATAATCCATATCTAATAACATAAAAATGTCCTCAAAGTATCTTCAAAAAGGTTCAAACTAAAATGATGTTGTATTTTTAGATCAATATTTGAAAATTGCCCAGCTGCAGTTGATAAACAAGGGACTCTTTCTTTTTTTAATGTATGAATGTACAATAGACTGCCCTGGCAAAATATGTATTGAAGTGTTTTCTGACAAATATTGTATCACTGCAAAATAAGCTACAACAAAATGTGAAACATGCGGTTATACCTGAAACACATCAGTCCATACTACTGCCTTCAAGCCTCCCTGTAACAATAGTGAAAGCCAAACATGTGTAATTGGAAACAGGGACAGTACAGATTTAGAAGTATTATGCAATATTTTAAGTTTCATTTGGTTCATCACATACCAGTGTGCAGTAAAAGGTGCAAACAACTCCTGTGGAAACTACAGCACCCCATAGATTCATGCCTGTTACTGCAAGAACAATATTACAGGTAACTTTTTGGTTTGTTAGTCCCAACAGAAAGACTCTCGTCAAAGTATGATTTATTTCAACATAACAGACCACTGCAGTATTGATCTTAACATGCACATTACTTTTTCACTTTTCTGTCTGATCTAAAGGTGGGACAGAAGCAAAAAAAAAGCAAGCGTGTGAAAAAACAGCGATCAAACTGTTTACAGAGCTGGGAACTAATTAAATGTGTGAAATTTGAAAACTACCCTGGGTTTAATCTGACCATCCATTGGTTTCTGAGTGGTAACAAAAAGGATTTACGCCATAGTAAACATTGAAAACACAATATTATTTTTTGGAATGTAAAAATGGTCCTTACTGCTGAAATCCATAAATAGGAAAGGAAAAACAGGCTTACCTTGAGTCAGAGCGAGGGCAGGGGTGTAAATGACTATCCCAGTGTAGAGAACCTGTAACAATGGAATACAAGCCAATGATCCACAGTCTGTGAGGTGTTGCATGTTGTGGGTCAGTGTGGTTGTGGTCAAGACTTATTTTTGGTTCGATTGTGTCAAAGAGTTACTCACCGTCTGCACAATAAACAGTAAAGTACCCAACAGACGAGTCGCTCTGTTGAACCGCAGCTCTAGATACTTAAAAACAAGCCAGAGTAAAAACAAGAGAGAATATGAGAATGTATTTGCCTATAATGTCAAAATGGGTTAATACACTACACTATTAGTCCAAGTTGATGCAATATGGGAAAACTCACCTCATTTGTGCTTGTAATCCCCAGCCTGTAGAAAACTGGGAGGAAAATCTCAGATGTCACTATCATTGAAAACAAATACGAAAAGCCAGAAAAGGCAATGATGGCTCCGAAGCGATACACCTATAACAAAGAAAATGTTGTGTCAGAGAAATCCACTGCAGTTTCATATCTCATTAATTGCATTTGCTTTATGCGATGTTGTATCTTGTGTTGAATAGGAAAATAAAATGCACTTTTTGTTTACACCAGTGTATCTACAGGTGAAACTCAGAAAATCAGAATATCGTTCAAAATTCCATATACTTCTGTTTTTCATCTTACAATATGAAAGTTATGTATGACCTCATTACACAAAAAGTCAGATACATGAAGCGTATTTGCTTTAATGTTGCTAATTAAACGTTGCCCCAAATGAACATGATCAGTAAGCCTTGTGACAAACAAATATTGCTTTGTATGTATTGAGTCTATATCATATACTGGTTTCACATTTCAAATTCCTTCATTTTCATCCCCCTTATTAATCAATTTCTGGGTCAGAAGGTGGAAATCAGAGCTGCCACCCAATCTCCATAGCACATAGTAATACATGTTTTAATATTCTAATTTTGAGATCCACTTGTCACTTGTAATTTTTTGAGGGATTTGAATAAACATAAATACTGCTGTGATAAAGTGAGAGTTATAAATCCTTCCCTCCAATAAATAAATACATCACTTCCATCACAAATGTCCTGAAGATGTACATTGTTATTTGTAAATATGGATTTCACTGTTGAACGAACAATGGTTTCAATTGGGAGTTTTGTCTATAATCCTTCTGATTTTTATCACTATTCACATATTCATCAAACACAACATCAGCCTATTCTACACAATTCAACACAAAAAACCTGCAAAAAGTTAAGATCCAAAGCAATGTGGAAGATGTTATCTCCTTTATGTCGTTCTCCACACAAATCCAAATCCAAACTCACCTCTGCTGGGGTGGTCAGCACGGTGATGGCGGACATGAAGCTGGCCGTCAGGGACATGGCCACAGGGAGAGCGTGGAGTCTCCGTCCCCCAGTCAGAAAGTCCCCTGAGCTCTGCTGGTGCCGGTCTGTCCAAGCATAGTACACCCCCACTGCAGCAGACACCAGCAGCATCAGGGCAAAGACCACATAGTCCCCCAAAACAAAGGAGGCTGGTGGAGTCCCGGACATAATTTTAATTTTAGAATAGCACAATAATAGAAAAGAATAGAGCAAATCCTACACTATACAAGTAGTTGTTTTAAAACCCTGTCTTCTGTATCAAGAGAAGGTGGGCAAGAATGTGTTTCAGAACCGAATAACAGTTATTTATGTAGGACACAGAGAGGCTTGGAGAAAGGCTGGCTCTTGCAGGTGAAGGGGAGTCAAGAGGCTGCACCTGACCGTACAATTACAACACACTGTGACAGATGTGTCAGCAAATACAGGACATAGTGTCACCAACAACTTTACAAAGTATCCCAAAAGGGTTCACAGAGACCTCTTACAATGTTTTGTAAAAGAATGCCAAGGATAATGTTCCATACTCACATGACTAATTTTTCTATTATAATGAAAAATGAAAAATGAACCAGCTACGTATTTTTAAGTTATACTATTGCATACAGGTAGGTGAGGGCTATAATAGGTTGACAGGGGGCAATCCACACTGTATCACTTGTATTAAGTAAATCATTTTCTTGTGTAAAAGAAAAAAATATTTTTCAATGAGGTATTTTTCAATGTAACGTAATCAGCAAAGGTTTTGAAAGTAACATACCGTGTCATAATGTTAACAGTGTAATATCCAAATGTTGTTTAAATGTTGACCCTCTTTGCTCATTTTGTCATGGTATTGAAGAATCGATTAGCCATCTTTTTTGGGAATGTTCTTCCACACAAATGTCTTGGAAAGACATCAATTTGTTTGTGAATAGAAAACTTACTATAGGTTTACAACTTAACCTGAAAGATATTTTATTTGGTATACATCAAGAAAATCTCCCCTCAATTAAACTTTTTTAATTTAATACTTCAAAGTTTCCAATACACAGCTGCAAGTTCCTCAACCAAAAACCAAAACTTGTTGTCTTTAACGAATGTCCTCTTATGTAACTTCTTTGAATTATTGTACAAATGCAAAAGCCCTAAAGACCAAAGTCGTATGTAATGAATTTGCACTATAAATCTTTTTTTGTGTATTTTGTATGTATTGTTGTTTTTACTGAAAATTGTAGCCTTGCATACTTGAGCTTCGAGCCATATGTATGTGCATTTTGTATATTTCTCAATTTAAAAAAAAAATACCGTGTTATAAATGGATTTGGTAACAATGGAAATATGGAGAATGCAGGCATAAATTCTATTAGAGAATCTGACAAATTGACAATAATAAAAATAAATTAGACCAATCCGGAAGTAGCGAGCTGCGCTGTTTCCACGTGGGCTTCCCAGCATGCTTTGTCCATCATGGCTGCGCCCTGCTTTCGGCGTGTGTGTAAACACTCGCATTGAAATCATACCACATTAGTTTTAAACAAACGCGTACAACCGTAGCACCCTTGCAGCCAAACGCTTTTGTTTAAAAAGAAAGGCAAAGATGAAGATCAAATCCAAGTCATCGTATCATAAATCAGAAAATACATTCAGGGTGAGTCCACTCGAGCAATGCATGTTATCTGTTATACACACATGTTTGAGTTTTTTCCCACATGTATAAGTTTGTATGCTGAAATGTGGCTATATGCTAGAGAAGTTTGTCTAATGTATTTTTTGACTCTGTGACTTTGTATGAAATGTGAAGATACAAGATATGCCATAATAATGATGCGCGTTTTTGTTTTGTTTTTTGGTTTAATTAACACGACTGTGAAATGACAACATCGTTTATTTGTTTAGTTATACTCCAAAGTAATCCGGACTAAGATTGTAAGTGAATAATAATATTCATGGTATTTTCAGTTTCTCACTTTTTCTGAGAGGCTTGCCAATGTGAACATCGATGTGATTCACCGAATTGACCGCACAGGCTCTTATGCAGAGGTACGTTCACGATTATTAATTATTTAACTTACCTTTCACCTGTTTAACTCCAACCTTTTGTTCGTCTTCATTATAGGAAGTTGAGACGTATTTTTCAGAAGGACTCACAAAATGGAGAGACCTAAACTTGACAGAGCATTTCAGTATGTTTTCAAGTCAATTATACAATTATTCAAATTCAGTTCTAATTGTATATTTTTTACTTTATCTCAGCCACCTTTCTGAAAGAAGTAACAAACAAATGCCAGTCCTTCAACTTGCTGGTGTTCCATCAAAAGTCTCTTGTGGAGAGTTTGAAGACTCATCTCGCTGTCAACAACAGTCTTGCCTACCAACCACTCTTGGAGTATGTCTGTTTACAATTCTATGAGTATATAATTGCCATTTATTCAATTGCAATTTTTCTGATAACCCTTTCAGATAACAATCATTCTAATAGCAATTTATTTTAAGAAGCTTGGATAATGTTCAAAATGGACTTGGACATTTCAAATTTGATGGAAACAAAAAGTTGTGTTAAGGCAAAAATATTAGAAAGTAATGACATGCAAGTTCTTTTTTAAAATCCCACTGTGATTAAATTAAATTTTGATAAGACTATACTTATCGTTTCCATTAGCAGATACAACAGTTAAATGCACTCAAATTAAGAGAAATACTGTTTATATACTATCTCTCATTAGTTTTTGACATCTATAGTGATCCTTGTTTTTCAGAGCTCTAAACACATTGGTGGGATTTTTATGACGTAAAGTAAAGTAATTTCAGTCTTTGAGATTTCTATATGAGGCCACTAAAATCACGGTTTGGATTCCTTTGTAATTAGAAGTGCAGCCCTAATTAATACTTCATATGTTGTGTACAAACATTATAATGTGCAATATGTATATGTTTCTGAGGGTATTCCAGTTTCTATCTAGTCCTATATCATACAGAATAAAACCCTCGTCTGTAATTGTTTAGTGCATTGACATAATCATTATCAAGTCACTACAATAGATTTACTGTGTTGCTTGTTTCAGTCTGGTGGTGCAGCTCGCTAGAGATCTACAAGCTGACTTTTATCCACACTTTCCTGACTTCTTCCTCTTGATCTCATCGCTTCTGGACACAAAAGACACAGAGCTGCTGGAATGGGCCTTTACCTGCCTGTCCTACATGTACAAGTATCTGTGGAGACTCATGGTTAAAGACATGGGCAGCATTTACAGGTGAACATTAGCTATGTTTACATGGACACAAATAATAGGATTTAAAGCCAAACCGGAATAAAAATGCTTCATGTAAACAAGCCATTCGGAATATTCAGACCCGATCACACACGTTTCGATCGAGACTGGCGGTTTATGCCGATTGTCATTCAGATTAGGGTGCATGTAAACACTTCTTCCAATGTTTGGGTCGAGATTATCCTTACTGCGCATGTCTGTGACGTCAGCTATACGTTGGTTTTCCCGAACTCCATGAGAACAATCCTCTCCCACCAGTCTTTGCTCCTCACTTTCCTCCAGTGGCTCCTTGTTTTTGCGTTTGGAGCAAGTACTAAATTTATCAATCATGGAATTAAACTACTCTCTTGCTGCTCCATTTCTAAAATAGTTACAAAAAAGTCACAAACGAGAGGAAAAAGAAAAGAAAAAAGTATAGTTACAGCAACGGACAATCAGAAATGCAAACGGAGGTCACTGCTTCTTCTTCTACTTCTGTTTACGGTATGTGCTGCGCATGTCAAATGTAATGTATTCTGATCATGGAGATTCTGATCTAAGGTGTAACACATGGAAACCCAAATCATAATCGGATATTTTTTTACAGGGTCTATGTACACGGTAACATTCTAATCCAAATTATGATCAGATTAGCCCATATACACGAGGCTATTGAGACATTTTGTCAAATATTTTTCCATTTGTAATGTTTGATCTTTTCCACTTGCACAGTTTATACAGCACACTGTTGGCACACAAGAAAGAGCACATCAAGAAGTTTGCTGCTGAGAGTTTCTCCTTTTTGATGAGAAAGGTACAACGTTATTACCACAGTTATGTTTGATTTGATCATTTAATATATTTGGTTTGCTTTTGCACAGGTTCCGGATTTGGACGCCCTACTCAATCACGTGTTTACCGATCTACAAGAGAATCCGGAAAAGGCAGAAGGAACGGGACAGCTGCTGTTTGAGATGTGCAAAGGAGTGAGAAACATGTTCCACTCATGCACTGCAAATGTGAGTTTGTTAGTTTAACCTCAATCACCAAATACAAATGGAACGCAAATATATTATTGTATTGTATGTATTGTGTCTGTTTTATGTTCATGGGACCCTCTCGAAAATGAGATGCTGCTTCTCAAGGCGCTTCTCAAATCTAATCAAATGATATCAACAGGAAGTTAAAGAGATAAGATGTCTTACATTCATATATGGTTCAGAACCCACAGAACAGTGTGAAGTATAATCTGTAGTTTATAATATTTATCTTGTCTTCAAAGCAGCATAGACTTGCTTTCACTTTTCTATTCATTTTTGTTTGATTATTCAAATTGATCTATAGCTATAAGTGTCAGTCAGTGTTGCTTATCTGGACTAAGAATTTGATTTGATAGAGATCAAATTAAATGCAGGTGATAGATAATTTAAATATCCATTTTGTTTGTTGGCAGGCTCTCTCTGTGACTCTTCATAAACTGGGGCCCATCACTTGTTCAGGCCTCACGTTGCCCTGGGATACCGTCAGAGATGCTTTGGACCAAATGGTTCAATCTGCTGCAGATCATGTGCACAAAGAACACTGCCTGGTTCTGTTTGAGTGTCTGCAGGTACCTACATACTTTTTTTTAGCATGTTTTAAGGGCGCTCCCTCACAATTGAATTACTTGCAATAATGCTATTGCTGAAAGTATTGAGTTTCACCAACTCCTATTCAATAAATAAAAACACACACTTTACATGATCCAGTGGAAATGTACCGTAAATCAGTTCATGCTCCCACCTTTTTATTGCACCACCTTAGTTGCCTGCATATTTGTACACAAAAAGGAAGGAAAACGATGGGCAAATATGGTGATGGATGGATCAAATAGTCGAAAATAAAATGAAATAGAATAAAATATTAATCACCAAATATATATTTTTATATTTTTGTATTTGAAAGTTGTGCCAGTGATCAATATAATATAAAATTGCGGTTACCCATTTAACAAAAACTTCCAAAAAAGGTATTTTCTTTAGCTATTATACTATTATACTATTGATTGAAAATATTTTTCCCCTCTGCTAAGGTAAGCGCTAATACACACCACTGCACATACGCACACACACAATACATTAAATACAACACATATTGCATGTCTTTATTTTAGAAAAGAATAAAATAATTAATGCACTGTAACTGTTTAAAATACACAGCAATTAGAAAGGGATCTTGGGATGTTAGTTTTCTGCTACTCTTCCTCCAATCATCATGATGATTTTATGATGTACGTGAAAACGTTGTCCTTTTGTTTCCAATGTTTTCAGACCAGTGTAACTGAGGTCCTTGAAGTCGTCGAGGCAAACAGAGACACAGCACAGGAGGCGATGGATCAGCTGGAGCGACTGCTGTTCATTTTCCACTCGCTGGTTTCACACAGAGACGGAGCCAAGGTCACGAAGCCCGAGGAGGTTTGCCAGGTACAACAGATATAAACATGTTCATCTGAACTGTACAAATTAAATGCAATGTTTCAAATGGGCAATATTGTAGAATGTAGTCTAATTTGTAATCTTTATTTTTCAGTGTTTTTTGATCAACCCAGGCTATTGTTAATTTTGTGTCGTCAGGTGGTCCTAAAGCTGGTTCAGTCTCCTTCCCTGTCCATCTCCTGCTCCCGCCTGCTGCTCCAGATCATTTCTTCTTTGCTGTTAGGGGAGAATGTGACACTACCTAATACTCTGATACAGCAAACCATTCAGAAGGTGCGGAAACTCCTTGATCAGGGTTTATCTTGTAGTTCGCACAGTGGTATAATGGGGTCCAGAATAAACCAATGAATGACCTGTGTGTGATGATGACACTTGTAAACGCAGACGTACTTTACAATGTCTTATTTTTTCCTTTAGGTTTTCAACAGCAACATAGAGTATGATCTGATCCTAGAGTTCACCAAAGAAATGCTCATCATGAAACAATTTGAGCAGGTGAGTTTTTGATTTAACAGCAATAGTCCAAATAATTGTTGTCTTTGGTCTACAACCATCCTGGCACTACAGCAAAGAGTATTTTTTAAATGGTTCCACTGGTTTGCCATGAAACTTATTTCCATATTTTGGTTTTATAAATCTTCTAAAATGGATGATTTAATTTTTTTTTTTTTTTAAATGACAATCCTACAAAAACAAGTTTAATTTAGATAACATTCAATCACCACATACTGGTTAAGAGACCTGAATTAAAGTTGCAGTTATGAAACATTTTTACTGCTTTATGAATCTGGTATGCACTTTCCGTCAGCTCTTCCTACCCAGCCTGCTGCGCTTCTGCACGGGTCTCATGACGTGCGGTGACCCCCTCTTGTTCCGCTCTGGTTTGGAGGTTCTGGTTCATCTGATCCTGACCAAAGCCCCGCCCCCCACCGACGGATCTCTGGCTTTTGAGACCTACCCGCTGCTTTTCACAGGACAGATAACTGGGTAAATATTCCCCCTGAAACTTTGTGTTTATTTACAGTCACTATGTTGCAATATAATTTGTATTTGAAAAAGTACACATCAGAATCTACCTACCTATCTAGAACCTGAGAAAATGGATGTATGGTGGGAAGGGACACTGATGCTGTTAAATAAATTCCTGGTGAGAACCTGTCTGTCTATTTATTTTTTGCAGGATATTTAGCAGTGCAGATGCCAAGAATAACGGTATGACTCTGCCTAACGCTGTACCGGAGATGGTTCTTGCTCTGGTCAAATCTTTCGAGCAAACAGAACAACCCATCGCAGATTTGTCTCAGTCATGGGCAGCTTCTGTGCTCCTTCCACACCTGAGGTAATGCCACTGTCATGTAGCTTAGAAATGTTACTGGATTACTGGATTTTTTTTGACTTATTCAATTGAATTTAGTCTTCTATACCCCTAAATGACAACAGTAGTTATCTCAGAGGACTTTCCAAAACTGTTGAATTTGCCCTACAGGCCATTATTCATACATGTATCTTGTGTTGACCATTGTTTTCAAATAAGGCATGGAAATTTTACATTCAATGAATGAGCCTCTGACATTTGCAGTCATCTGTTTGTTTCTTCGTAGACCACTGCCCGCAGCATCAGTGCTTCCTCCCGTCACAGCCTTCTTGAATCGTCTACTCATTCAGATCGGGTCGGACACACTGGGCAAAGGTTCATTTAACACTTTCACCTTGCTACTATTATCATTGTTATATGTCACGCTACACTATATTCACCAGTGTCTCCTTCATGTCTCCACAGCTGGGTGTTTTGTGGCCCGACAGGCTCTGAGCTGCATCCTCACTGTGGACAACACTGCTAACGTTCTTTCATTGATTTCAGTGGAAAAGATCACCTCCATCCTACAGTATGGCCTTCACAGCATTCTATCATAGACTAAACATTAATGTTACAAATAGGGATTTAAACTTGAATATATCACTATTGACCCTTTACGCATCAAAAGAGGACTACTAAAATCCATAACATAAATGAATACAAGGTTAAGATGTAAGAAACATGCAGGGAAGATTGCTGTTTAGAAATGTCCTGGATTGAGCCATTCTGATATTATGGCTCTAACAGGGTTAACTTCATAATGAGGCTCATTTGACAAAGCAATGTACATACAGTAAAACATATATGTGAGGTGAGTGTTGGTTTGGCTTCTCTGTGTCAAACTAAAAAAAAAAACAATCAGTGTGAAACGCCCTTGTGACTTTCTATTGTACTGAAAGACTGTGTTCAAAGTCGCAGTCAGCAAGAGTCAGGGATTTAAATGTGCGATGGCTACATGACGTGTTATCGATTAAGCTTTTATGTTCTGTTTTCCCACAGAAAATATCCCTCCGACCTCTCCTGCCTTCTCCTAACAGACTTGTACTACACTCGTCTGTCATTAAACGGGGTTTCTGATCATCTTTCCCACAATGCACTACTACAGCTTTACCAGTTCCTTCATAATAACTTGTCCTCCAACATTTCCATGGTTTGTTTTTCCTCAGTGTATATGGAAAAGTTGACAATAGTTTAATTACATTGAATTAATGACATATTCGTTTATAGATCAGGCTGCTGACCCTAAGGATCTTTTCTCATTTTGAGGCTGATTTACCTGCACCGTCTGAGGTATGTAGCAAAAAACGTTTTACTTATGAAATCACATACTCTGTCAAAAGTATTAAGATCCCATCCTGTGCACATTATGTTTTCATCTAATAAATCCCTTAAAAACAGCAAATGTTAAATGTGAATTAAATAAATAAGACACTGTGCTGAAAAAAAGTAGGACAACCCTTGTTAAATGAAGTTTAATAAATATATGAAAACATAAAACAGAAACTATTTCGATAACTGTTATGTGTGTGTCCAGGGAGAGGAGAATGCAGAGGTGCAGTGTGTGTTCTCAGTCTGCCTTCAGGCTGAGCTGGTCCCGGCCTCAGTGCAGGACTACAGGGAGAAACTGCTCCATCTGCGAAAGCTTCGACATGACCTGGTCCAGCGCAGTCTCCCTGTGGGACCGGCTGGCACCTTCGCACAGGTACAGAAGACCAACCTTGATATCCATTAGCATGTCTCTTTGGTTCACTACTACAACTACACTTTGAATTCACCCAATTACTCTTCTCCTAATCTTGTGTTTTCTCCAGGTGCCCCTGCGATACCTGATAGCCATGCTGTTTGTAAATTTTAGACCGTTGTGGGAGCCAGTCATCGAGCTGATAGTGTGAGTACATTTGTTTTTTTGTGCCAAGCTTTTTCCTTCATTAGGAACAGTATAGTGCAAAGTGCTGGACTAAAAGTTCTTTTACCTCTGCATCTTGTATAGCTGTGCTGCCAATGTATTTAATTTTTTTACTTTGTTAGAGCGCCCTCTTGAGTGCAGGAAGCGATTTGGCCACAGCTCAATCAGCTGCTGATTTTACTAGAGCTGACGACTGACATTCTTGCTTCTGGTTAGTTTATGTGAACAGCAGAGAGTCAATACAAGGCAGTGCAGGGACTATTTGACTCCTACAAAGTTTTAGTCGGAAGGTTATTGTCAAAAAGATCATCACCCGTCAACAGTGTCAAAACGATCGGGTTAGTTTTGCCCCATCAGTTGTTGGTTAAGAGTTACATTACATGAAAACCTGTGGCTTTTATACAAGTGTGGACAAAAAATTACTTGCTTCAAATCATTTCATGCATTATCCTGATATCTCAATACAGACAATATAATAAAGCTGTGTATCTGTGGTACATGTACTTGATATCATTCCGATGGTACATGGATCCCCCTGCCATATATAATACCTAGTTTTGATCTAGGCCTGGAAAGTCTTTTTTACCTTGTTTTGATTGGATGTGACCTGGCTAGATATGCAGATATGCAGATATAATGCTACTTGAGATTTGAAATAGTTTCTTAGGTGGTACTTGATGATTTTGAAACATATGTCTCCCGTTCTTAGGAGCCACGCCAGAGGGATGGACAACAAAGATTTCTGGAGAGTCTATCATGAACAATTGGAAATGGTGGCAACACTTGCGGGTATGTGATATTTTATATATTTTTGTATTAGATTCAGATTCAGAAAATGTATTGATCCCAGAGGTTAATTCTTTCCTGTAATCCCAGAGCAGTTTGCCTATAGTTCTTACAACCCTACACAGTCAGTTCTTATTAGTTCACAGCAGATTACATAGCAGGAGGCAGATTACATAGCAGGAGCATTGGTTATGGACTAATTACTCGTTTTACTAATTACTTATTTGTGCATTTTGTTTGAGCAAGTGTAAGAATGTGTGTAGTGCCTTGATGAATTTTAAGGATTATGTTTCTTACTTGAACAGAGAAAGAGATGAAGGACGATGAGGATGATGATAACGACGACCGTAAACATGCAGAACCAAGCCTCCAGTCTGAACCCGGCTGTGACTGTATAGAAAGCGGCGATGTGGGCGTGCTCTTTATGGAGCACTTGAGGAAGATCTCTGAGCCCAATGACAGAACGGACTTCCCAAATTTCCGCGGTCTGCTTTGGAAAGCCATGTCCCAGTTTCCAGACAGAGTCGAACCACGGAGCCGAGAACTCACTCCACTGCTGCTAAGATTTGTCAGGTTAGACCATAATCATCAATCCATCTATATAGCCTCATATACCTACAACCTAATATAGCACGTACACTGAATTTTAAATTGTAAAACGGGGGGATTTCTTCTATCCTGTCCCATAAAAGATTATGAGGGCTGAATCATTACATTTGAATGAAAATTAACAATAACAACAGAAATCTTCATACAGAAATGAGTTCTACACAGCAGACATGATTGTGGCACCAACTCAGGACCTGAGAAAGAGAGAGACCGAAGCGCCTGAGGAGACATCGATGGTCGTAGATGATGATGATGATGATGCGCTCGAGGAGGGTGAATACAAAGGCAAAAAACAGAAGAAGGGTTTGCCCAGGGGAGCTGTTGCCAAGTATGATACAGAGATCTGGAGTTGAATTTCCATCTACTGAATGTAAATGGCTGTAGTATTACATATATATTTTTGAATCTCTCCACAGACAGCTTACTACTCATTTGAGAGTATTTGCCAAATTCAACAATCCTCGTTCACTTTACATGGAGGCCAGTCTCTGTGAGCTCTATCACCAGGTATTATATGGTAAATTAACTATTTAGTTGTTGGTAATTTCATATATCTTTATGTATATTTTGTTTTGCTCTAGTTGCTTTGTCACCAAGACCAGCATATTCAGAAAGTGGCACTAGAGTGTGTGCTCACATACAAAGACCCCCACATTTTACCCTACAAGTAAGTGAAAAAAAGATTTTTAAAAGGGCAGGCAACCATATAAGGAGTACTGGGCAGAAAAATTATGTAAAAAAATGCTTAGTTCTGGATTCTGGGATTATTTTACATTCAAATGGCATTTTGTGATCGTGGCAAATTCATGATCTCATTTAAATTGGTTTTGCAAACGCATGCTTTTCGTGCCTTTGTCTACTGTATTGGAATGCTTTTACCTTTTGCCTCTTCTGCTTCTGCTGTGTTTTTTTTGTATAAACCTCTCCAAATAGCGATCCACCTACAGTATCTGGTGTCTTCTCTGAATATATCCTTTGTGCCCATGGGAGATGATTGGGAAGTATATGATCTCCTCACTACCTAAATTACAGGAAGTTTAGCGGCTCAGAGGGATTCCGGCCATCGGTTCTGTGATGGTTATGGCATAGTTTTCTGTCAGTTTTTGGCACAATCAGTGGAGTGGATACTTTTGGGGACAGACATGATGGTTTATTTTACAATTTGTGAGGCCCTGTGTTCACAATGACACTGACCTATTTATTGCTGGTCCTGATTGAAGATTGCATTGTATAAACTTGATTTTATATATTCCAACCTCCAACTCATAGGAGAAAAACAGCTCAACAATATTATTATTTTAACCCCAAATTTTAACCAATAACAAAATCTTGGTTTGATGTTTCCTAAACATCAATTATACTGTATATATTTTTTGCATCCCTTCCTTTTCTTATACCAGTAAATGATTTTGGTTTTATGGTGCGACTCTCACTTTGCTTCTTCTTGGGCTGTTTTGAAATGTTCAGTAGAAATTAAATGTTAACTGTTTTTCAGGGAGAATCTAGAGAGACTTTTGGATGACAAACATTTCAAAGAGGAGATTGTCCATTTTAACATTTCAGAGGAGACCGAGGTGGTGGACTCTTCACACAGAGCTAAACTGATCCCACTACTCATGAGGTATTGAGTCTGCATTCGTCCAGTCCCTGTCAATCTCACATCAACACCAAATCATATCATATTGTCTTTTTTTTTTTTTTTTTACCCCTGTCTCTCATAGGATTTTGTTTGGGCGACTGAGGACTAAAGCGGGCAGTAAATTCCAGGGAAAGGCCAGTGCTGGGGCCCGTTCCTCCATCATCCTGCGCTTCCTTGCGGGCTGTCAGTCTGAGGAGCTGGGCATGTTCATCAACCTGCTTCTGGAGCCTTTATTTCATCACTCTCAAGGTTCTGGGAGCTCATCAAAATCACTCATGTATAAACAGAAGTTCTGTTGATTCAGAACTGCACAATTAATCACAATAGAATCAAAACTGGAAATCCCCAAAAGAGCAAAGTCCCTTGCAAAAACAACTGCATTCCAAAACGAGCTCATACTCCAGATTATTGTGTAATATTTCTCAAATTAAAGCCTTATTATCCATCCATTTTCTACCCCTTCATCCATTTCTGGGTCGTGGGGGTGGACCTGGACCCTGATCCTCCATGATATTTCAAGTGTTAAGTGTCTTGCCCAAGGACATAACGGCAGCAGACTTTAGTGGGAGTAGATGGAGAAGGTCTTGTGGTGGGCTCGAACCCACACAAAAAGCCTGAAAAGCCTTTTTGAGTCTTCAGGCTCAAAAAGGCTTCAAAAACATATATAGGCATTGTAATGTTAGTTGGATACATTTTGCAGCCCTACCGTTATTACAAAGTCTACATTCTTTGACATCCTTCTTGTTTGCATTGCATTTTTTTGCCTTTTCTGTGGCCATTCTCTCTGGTACTTTGCTTGTTCTACTGTTGAAGTGTCTGAATACGTCTCTATTCTGTCCCTCTAGGATCGTGTGCAGAGGCTGTGGAGCGAGCTGTAGCAGACACGGATGTGGGCGCGGTCCTCCCTTTGGGACGCCTGCACTCTCTGCTCAACATTATAACTGTGGTGATGGACAAACTGGGACACCTGATCCACTCAGACCTGCCCAAAATACTGCAGATCCTCCTGTGTGTGACCGCCTCTGTGTCCACGCTGCTGGACTGCAGGGAACAGGTGCACAACCTTTACTACTCTGTCGTTGTTTTATCAATTTATTCATTGTCACTAATGATGAAGTACGTCGTGGCACCATGGATTTCAAAGGGGATATTATATTATAACATGTTTAGGTCATTTCAAAAACATAAACTTTGGATTCATTGAAAGAAAAAAAAAAGTAGTCATGCGTAATAGAGTGTGTAGTGCTTCCAAGTAAACCCCAGCAGTTAGATTCTATCTGTAATCAGAGCTCAGGAGCGAGACATCTCAAACAGGATTCTGGCAACAAATGTTGGATTGTAATTGTAATGACTATTAGACCACTGAAAAAATTTGGCATTTGTCCATTCTCAGTCCATCTCGCATCATTGCTATATCGTTTCATATTGTCTTTGATTTTTGACAATGAAATATAATATACAGCCCCTTTTAACTGTTTATTATTCTGTAAGACATATTTAAGCTTTTTGTAGTAATAGTAGTTTGACCTTGTTTTGATGATGATTCCTTGTTATTAACTTTATTCAAAGATTAGTTATGATTGTTTAATAATACTGTATTGTCTTGCGTCTGTTTCTATTCCTTGTCATTTATCATTACTTAATTGCTTATTTGTATTTCTGGGATATGCATTTGATTGTTTCTCTCAACAGTAAAAACAATTACATTAAATGAGTAATATTATTTTAACTTTGTTTCAGTTACGGCCAGGATGCATTAGCCCTCTAAAGAACCTTCGGCGACTGGGTGTTCTGAGGATATTGGACTTTTTTGACAATTTTGACTTCTACAATTTCACTCCAGATGAGCTGGATGCTGTGTTTGTGGGTGTGATCTGGCCCCAGGTAATGCATGTAACATCTATGTAGCGTTTTTCTACAGTGGTCTGTATGACGCCCTGTGCTTTAATACTTATAAATGTGGAGAAAATAGGAAATATGTGTTTGTATTTATTCCGTTTCTTGTCTCTATAATTTGTAGATATGCCGCTTACCCACAGAAAGCACCTACTCGCCCACACCTCTGCTCAAACTCATCCACGTTTGGTGTAAAAACGCTCGGTAAGAAGCTCACTTTTCTCCCGATATACTTTCTTTACCTTAATAACTTGTTTGATTTTATTTTTTTCCTCTCAGTTTTTTCACGCTTATGGCAAAGCAGAAGCCAGAACATCCAGAGTGTGATGTCCTCCTTAATGTGTTTGCGCTACTTTCAGCCAAAAACACCTCCACACTGACCATTGCCACAGTTCTGGACATAGCAGAGTCATTGGCCTCAACTCAAGACTTTGTGGCTTCAGAGAATGAGACTGAGTTGATTGTAAATGGCAGTGTTCTTCCACAGCCAGCAGAGGGCACTCTCACAACAGGTTAGTAAGTTAGCTGTATCATGACATAATAAGTTGTCCTGGCTTGGTACTGGTGTGAGCGGTCAGCTTTAGTTCTATCCCAGTCTTATCATTTCTTGAAAAGACAAACTGTTTATTTGAAATGATTTCCCCCAGACTCCCTAACTCAAGGTTCCAGACTGCTGCTCCCTCACATCCCCACTCTGCTGCAGTACCTCAGCCTTGTTGTGCGAAACACTGACCGACTCAAAAAGAAAAAATTTAGAGCCCAAGTGGCCCGCGAGCTCAACATCCTGTCCAAGTGCGTGATTTCTGAGCTACTTTATACCATATTCTGTATACTTGCATTGACTCACGATTGCGCTGTTTGGTATATCTCTTGTTCAGGATTAGTCGATTTGTAAGTGACAAAGAACAAAGTTCTGTGCTCATCAGCCTGCTGCTGCCTCACCTGCAGAAGGGGAACAACCCGCCTGTAAGACCCAGAAACTCGAATATAATTATGCAATGTCATAGTGCATATGTTTATCCTATTGTTGCTTTACAGGAGACCGAGATTGACGTCTTGGCCACAGTTCAGAACTTGCTACGCCAGTGTTCGACTCCCTCCTCTTTTCTGCGTCCCTTGAGCAAACTTTTTTCTGTGATCCACAAGAAGATCCCCAGACAGGCCCTCACCAGTGTCTTCCAGGTATACTTTCATTTGGTCAAAAAAAACATCTTTCGCAATAAATGTGCTATTTTTTATTATTAAAGTCACCATTGCTATTTCTAATTTGTTGTGTGTTCCCCAGACATTGTCGGATTTGGATCCCTCGCTCACATACATCACTGATGTTGCTTCCAAGGTGTGACTGCAAAATATTTTGTATACTTTTATTTCCAAAATGTGATATTAATTTGTTCAACTGTTTTTATCTTCAGCTTAATGCCTTTGACAGTCGACATTTGGATGAGATTCACTTTGATGTTCGCCTGGAAGCGTTTCAAGCAGCAAAGAGCCGTGTGAGAGACATGCAGACGCTGGACCTGGACCTAATCTTCACACTGATTCACAACTGTTTTCACACGTATGAGGTAATGGTGTTCACAATGTTTAACCACACGCCACACATACATAATGACTCCACAGCCGAGTCTGTTCAGAGCTATTAACATCTGCAACCTTTTTCCTGCTCAAATTGAACATCTCAAATCTATGTAACTTGTCTTTTTTAATTCATTGACCCAGGAAGACCTGATAGCAAAGCTTTCAGCTAATAGGATCCATATAAATGAACACATAAACAAATACAGCTGTTGTTTTTGTCTTGATGAACTCATCTTTTTGCTCCAGCTTGGTGACATGTCTTTGGGAGACAACGCCACCTTGTGTCTGTCTGCGATCATTGAGCAGCTGGCAACAGTGGAGGCAGCAGAGCAGCTCTACAGAGACATCATTCAACACACTGTTCTGGAGGCGGTGCACAGGGGCCTTCGCAGCAAAACTGAGGTAAACATTATGTCAACTCAAATAAAGAGAATCCTACAAGGAACTTGACCATGGTTAATGTTGCCAATTACTTTGAAACTGAGTATTCCAATGCATTAATACAGGCGTTAGGGTTAAAGCTTGAGTGCCTAACTTAGTTATATATTTTTGGTCTCAACAGAAGTAAAAAAAAAAAAGTAACAAATAGGAGCACAACATGCTGTCATTATCTTATCAGTAAATGTGTTATATATTACAGTGGCTCAGTTATTAGAGCCTTTGCCTTTTGGCAGCCGTCCTCCTGTGGGCTCACCACCTGCAGGAGGATCAGTGAGGGGCTGGTACTCTGTGAACTAGAAGAGCGCTTTGAGTCACTATTTTATGCTGGTTGTGAGAGTGGTCCTCTTTTTTCACTCTTCTGTGTGAAAATGCTGATCTAATGATTTGATGGAGGCCAAATTACATGTGTTTGAAAAACTAAATATCAAACTTTGATATTTAGCTTTTTTGAAAGTTGCATATCCCAGTTATTTTTGCCAGTAAGAGAATTATTTTTCTTCTCCTCAGAGCGTGCAGCATGAGTACACCACAGTGCTGGCCTGTTTGGTGAAGACATTCCCCTCAAAAAAAGAGTTCCGAGACTTAGTTCAGCTCACGGACTACAATGACCCTGAATCGGACTTCTTTGAACACATGAAACACATTCAGGTGACAAAATTCTTTCCTACCTTCATATGAGCCTATTTAAACCTTCCAGATCTTTCAAGGATTTATCTTTTATCTCTTCTTAGATCCACCGTCGTGGTCGAGCCTTGAGAAAACTGGCCAAGCAGCTAACTGAAGGGGCTGTGGTCATGAGCCCCCGCTCCCTACAGAACTACATAATGCCTTACGCCATGACGGCACTGATGGACGAGAAGATGCTAAAGGTACAGCTATCTATTCATCTTTGTTATAAACTTAAATTAGTCCATATTTTAGAAGAGCAGCTATTAATTTGCATTTCAAAGCATCAAAGTTTCAAACGCTACAGACTCCAGCACATAAAGATATATGCTTCAGGCAAACATTGTTAACAAATAACAAATGGAAAGAAGAATAGCCTCCACTGTATAGACTGGGCATGATTGAGTAGATTTCCCCAGTAAGAAATAATGACTTGTATTTCATGTCATTGCATCCAAATGAAGCAGTAGACTAATAAATGCTTGTTATTAGTTGAGTTGTACAATTTGTGTTTCGACCAGTGAGCTGGACTAGTAAATGTAAATAATTTGACTAGTAAAAGATGTGTCTAATGCATTTGTTTTCAGCATGAGAACATGATATCCGCCTCAGTGGAGGTGGTGGGAGCTGTGTGCCGTAAGCTTACCTGGTCCAAGTATTTGTACTACCTCAAGCACTTTGTCCACATCCTGCAAACATCCCAAACTGAGCAGAAGCTGGCCGTGAGGTAGGCAAGTTCATTTCTCACCCATACGAGTACAACGGCTCATTTCCCCCCTCTCTCTCCTTATAGTTTGCTGGTTACTGTTTTAGAGGCCTTTCATTTTGATTACGAGACCCTCACTAAAGAAATTGACGCTGCTAAAGCCAGAGAAGGTGAATATACATTGTTTTTCTCTTTTAATAATTTCTCAACTGACCTGGTGGTAACCCGCTCAGTTATGAATGATATTTATGAATTAATTTATGAATGTGACTTGTTACTGATCCGAGTTAAGTCACATGTTTGTTTCCAATGTTAAATGAAAGCTTAATGATAAACTGTATGAATATTAGACAGTGCCGCTGTTGTTGAACCTGCGGAGGAAGATGATGCTCTAGTAGAAGACGAAGCGAGCGAAGACGAGGAGGACATGGAAACAGATAGTAAAGACCAGCCGGCCGTCACCGGGGAATCAGAAAAGGCTGTTATTGCTATGGAAACCGACAGCACCGATGCACAGCAGGACTCTGGGGTTACAGTCTGTGAAGGCAAACCCACCACAATCCCCAAAGTGTCCACCGGGCTGCCCCAGAGCAGAGAGGAGCTGCAGACACTGGTCACCGCCATTCATAAGACCGTCAACGAGAGTGTGTTGCCACGACTGCAAAAGTGTTTAACTGCCAAGGTGCTTCACAAAACACACAAGCAACAGGAATAATGTGCTAAAGCTGGCGAATGGCCTAAAAACACGCTATTGCTACAGAGATAATATTGGTGATATTTAAAATAACATAATGACAAAATCCTTCTGAACAGTGTTGTCACATAAAAACTGGGCAAGGAATCTAATTTCCAAGTCCTGGTTAAACCTTTGGGAATTTCGATATATATATTTTATGATTATCCCAACTGAATTCCATACTTTTTTGGTTGTCAACCAAAAAATAAAAAGAATCAAAATAGATTAATACATTGAAAATAATAAATTAATAATGGACTCATTGACAACATTTAACAGAATAAAATTATATGTTTTTTCCTTCGGATGGAAATCGGTAAATGGTTTTATCCGATCTCAACTCAATGAATTAAGTAGTTAATTGAAATTGCTGTCAATAAATGTATCATGAAGTCATGAAAAGGTTCTGGAAGCCCGGAAGTAAAAGTCGGTGAGAACCCTGAAGCAGTACAGCTCAAATCAAGAAGAGTTTGATGATGAGGATGACGATGATGATGAAACACTAACATTCTCTCCACGGTTGCAAAGAAAATATAGACAATTATTTGCCGTTCCAACTATTCAATTTGATCGTGTCCGTTGGAATTTGTGCTTGTTTTTTATTTTTTTATTTAACTTGTTGTTTGATTGTTCTGATCAGGTGCAAAGAGATGAAGAACACAAGGCCGTGAAGTCAAAGGAACTGAAGGAAGAGGAGGTGGTCCGCATCCCCATCGCCTTTGCCATGGTCAAAGTCATGCAGACGTTACCTCCTCATATCATGGAGGTCAATCTACCTGGGTAAAAAAAAAAAACTGCTTAATAAAATACTGGGCTCTCGGCTTCTACCAGAACGGCTTGTTTTGACTAACTTTCTTCTTCCAGGATTTTAATTAAGGTGTGCGTACTGCTGAGAAACCGCTTTCAAGAAGTCCGAGATATCGCACGAGGAACTTTGGTGAAGATAATTGAGACTTTGGGCATAAGATATTTGCATTATCTGCTCAAAGAAATGCAAGGAGTGCTGGTGAAGGGCTACCAGGTACACATGGAGACGAGCATACCTCTGGAAGGAATAATAATGTGACTTTCTGACATAATTGTGTGTTGTTTTTCAGGTGCACGTGTTGACATTCACAGTTCACTCACTGCTGACCACCCTCAGTCCAACTCTGAAGAGTGGAGACCTGGATCCCTGTATGAACATGCTCATTGATGTAAGAGCCACCATTAAAAACATTATTTGTAATATGAATGTGAGGGAGAGCGCTTGTGCTCAGTCTCATTTCTAATATATTCTTGTTATTTATTGCATTAGATCTTTAACAACGAGCTGTTTGGTGCCGTAGCTGAAGAAAAGGACGTTAAGGGCATTGTATCTAAAACAATGGAGGCCAGGCACAGCAAAAGTATGGACTCCTACGAACTACTGTCTCAATTCTGCAGCAAAGAAAGCATCACAAAACTTATCCTGCCACAGAAGGAGGTGAGCTATTTTTATTTATCTTTTTAACCCATTTAAAAATAATCATATTTAGTAATTTCCACTCACTTTCCAGTTAGTTTGACATTATACTTTTTTCGACTTAGTAATACTTGGAGTTTCTTAGTGACACCACCAACTTCGCTTTTATTTTGAAACGTACGGGCATCTAAAATAAGGGATTTAGAGCACTTTGGACACGTCATCTGTCAATTCGTTACAATCAGGGGCGGGCACTCCAGCTCAGTGACCACTTTTCCCACAGAGATCGACTTTTTCCAAAACAAAATAGTGGTTGCAAATTAGAATTATTAATATATGTTTATATTAAATGTTTTACTGAATACATTCTGGCAGTCGGAAACAGTACAAATCAACAAACCAATTTCAGCAAAATAATTTATTTTTGGATACTTTGGGTTCTTTTAATGACTGATCATGATCAACAGGTTGGTTCCATTGCTTTACAAAAAAACACAAATTACTTTTCTGATTGTTTTCTTCCTGGCAGATTCTAGAGACCTCATCCAGTCTGAAGGTGTGCACCAGAGTTGGGGCCGTGCTGCGCAGACTGATCCTGGGTCTGCTGGTCAACAGTGGGATGACTCCTCAGGATGTGCTGCTCTTGTGTCATGGCCTCATCAACGAGAGCTTGCCCCTGCTCACCAAGAGAGACACGTGAGGAGCACATTGTTTGGACTCGCATGTGTCTATAGAAGAATAATACAATACCCATTGCATTCATGTTCTAGAATAATATCAGTTGGACAAGTGCCAATACAACTCTTTGGGAAAGAAGCACATTTTGAAAGAAATGTTGAGAAAGAAAATGTCCAAGCGTGTACCAGATCACTATTTGTAGCCCTCAACCTGCCATATTCTTATGCCTGAATGCCCTTGGAGAATAGAGGTTGGAGAACTTTGTAATTCCTGGACCAAAGAATCAATCAATCAATCCTTTATTATCTCACAGATGGAGAAATTCAGTTCGATGAAATTGTCTATAAACTATGTTTAGAAATCATACCTTTAACGGTTACCAAAGATTTCAGCAAAGATTTTACAACTGCCCTCCCCCCACTATGTTAACCTATTGGCTCTTCGGAATGTTGTGTGGCATACAATCTAATATAGCGTTGAAAACACACCCTTTATACATTAAACATGGCGTCTAGACATGACGCTGTGACAAGAGCTCTGGCGTGCACTATCTGGTGCACACTGGGGTACTCTTGCACAGGTATTCTATTGTGGTTTTACTGCAAATGGCAAATAGTCTGATTCTGATCTAAAAGCAGTGGAACACTGCATTCACTTGCCTTTTTTCCGCATTATTTTGACAGAGATAAATCCAAAGCCAAACCACCTCCGGACCCCAGACTGCCCCCTCCCAGCTGCCTGCTTCTCTGTCCGACCCCAAAGAGAGGAGGACAGAGAGCGGCCGTGAGCAGCAAGACCAACATGCACATCCTGGTGGATGCGGGACTCAAGGTCTGATTCTATTGGATTCTATCATTCTTTAGCTGTAGGTGTTACTAATACTGTTATTTGTTATGTGTTTGCACAATATGGTGTAAATTTGTTTTGATTTGTGTAGTCAAATAACAAAATATTGTAACTTCAAACTCCCAAATGAGCAAAACATTTGACTGGACCTTTTTTCTTCATTACAGCTCCAAAAATCTATTTTTTGTGTGAAAGTTGCCTCAGCTGCAAAAGGAAGATTGTCAAAAAAAAAAAAAACAGTTTTTCTTTCTACAGTCAGACATTTGTTTGTTTTTCAGGCTTTTTAGAGGAAAAGAAAGTCCAGAGTGATAAGCAGTCTGCCTCCGTGGGGCCAGACAAAAATGTAGATTCTCAATCCTCAGTGGGACATTTAACTAACAGCTAATAAATAAATGACAATATCTAGATTTGAGTTGTGATGACAAAACTGACCATTTATATAAAGATTCCAAAGATAATGAATGTTATAATAATGTACTATAAAGGGATTTAATGTATGGCTGCACAAAAGATTAAATTAACTACAGACCATAAAGAAATGGTTTTGAAATGTATTATTATTTAAAGTAAGATAAATACTTAAATTAGAAACCATAAATTCAAAAGAAATTGCTTATCCTAAAACTATGAATCTTATTTAATTATGTTTATTTTGCCCTCTTGTGACTATGTGTTCTAACTTAATATTTGTGGCCTTTACAGCTTCTTCACATGAGCTTGAAAAGAGGCAAAGTCACGTCCTCTGAGATCTCTGCTCTGGAGATGCTGGACCCGTTTGTGCCGCTGCTGCTGGATTGTCTGGACTCGCTGCACGTCAAGGTTGTAGCACAATCTCCTGCTCCTATCAGAGTCAGTTATAAGCATGTATAACGACATGTGACTGTGCTCTCCAGGTGATCACTGAGGCCCTGGTCGGCTTAACTTGGCTGCTGAAGTTTCCTCTTCCTTCAGTTGAGACAAACGCGGAGCAGATGACCAAACATTTATTTGTTTTACTAAAAGACTATTCTAAAGCTGGAGCAGCACGTGGAGAGAATTACCTTCTGGTTCAGAACTGCTTCAAGGTACATAATGCCAAAATACATTTCATTTGACTTATTTAGTGCTGGACTATGTTTATAGTCTTGTAAAAGTAACATTTTGTGAACAAACAAGACCAAAACCATGTTATCTTTTAAAGTCCTGTGAGTCACTATTTGAGGATGGTGGTCCTCTCTTTTTTCACTATTCTGTCCGACAAAGCTGATCTAAAAACATTGAAAAAGGCAAAAATGCATTTCAAAACTAAAGATTGACCTGAACTATTTTAAGAGCGTACAAGTTTGATGGATTTTTGTTTTAAATTATGTTACTGTCACTTTTCAAACATGTCTTATTGTGTTGTCTTGTTTTCATTTTCAGACCATAACTGTGCTGGTGAAGAATATCAAAACAAACGCCATCTCGGAGACACAGCTGCAAGTGCTGCTGGGATACGCGGAGGAGGACATCTATGACCAGTCCAGACAAGCCACCGCCTTCAGCCTGCTCAAGGTACTCACGCTCTAGACATGATAGGATAATGTTTAGCTCATTACAAAATAATAACGCAAATGTCATATCCTGCATCAGGCCATTTTGTCCAGGAAGCTTGTTGTCCCAGAGATGGAGGAAGTGATGCGGAAAGTAGCCAAACTTTCTGTCAGCGGGGGAAATGGCATGATCAGGATTCACTGTCGTCAGGTAAAATGCTAATGCCACTTTTTTTTGTTGCTATGTGATCGTTTCTTTCTGTAACGGTAGTGAGTTGGTGCGTGTGTGTTCAGATCTACATGAAGTACCTGCTGGACTATCCTCTGGGCAACAAGCTTCGACACCACTTGGATTTTGTGGTCTCTCAACTTTCGTACGAACACGACACAGGAAGGGAGTCAGCGCTGGAAATGATGGCCTCTATTTTTCAGTCTTTTCCAGAGGTATGTTTGACACGTGCGGCTAAACTAAACGGCTTACGTAACAAGGACGTTTAAAACACTCTTCTTTCTTTGTCCTTTCCAGAAAATGTTGAAAAAATACTGCACCTTGTTCTTTGCCCCGTTGGCGTTGGTGGTGGTGAACGATGACTCTGCTCGCTGTAAGAAAATGGCCGCCGTGGCAATCAAGGCTCTGATCGCTCAACTCGACCTGAACAGCAAAAACCAGCTGTACACTCTTGTGGAGACGTGGCTCGATTCAAATAAGGTACAAACTAATGGAGAAACTGCACTTGATCAGAGTTTGGGTGGTTTGGGAGAAAAGATCAGTTTAAATGGTTAGTATACCATGGGTTAGTATATCATTTTTTGTCTTAACCTTTGATGGACAATGGATCATATTATATTTAATGCTGTCAACGTGGTTTTAAAGAATTATACACTTGGAAAATCCTGTGTATATTTAAAGGGGCAGTATGTAATATGCACTATTCCTGGTCTAAGAAAGTAATTACAATTATAACTTTTGTTGCCAGAATCTCCCCACCTGTGACAAACTGTGTATTACTTATGACTACTATCTTTTTATCAAATGTTTGGTGCTATTTTTTTGTTCGTGAATTTCTTAACGAAAAAACATATCAATAAGACCAGCTAAATTTCACCTAATAAGCTGGCAACCGAAATGAGAGCCCTTTTCTGTGCTATTGTATTTGTAGTTCAAAATAATATTTGTTCAGGAAAGGGTAAAATATGATTTGTACATGTATTATCTTGAGACACATAAAAGATGTAGATGTAATTTAATGTGATGAGCTCTCCAATCCAGGACACTTTATATACAGCAACTTGGCTTTCCAAATAAGTTTTTCTATTTATTTCTGTAGTCCTCGATGACTTAAAAAAGGCTCTACCTTTTTGTCAGTTTCAGGTTCGTATTCAATATTCTTTACATTAATATTAATGCATTTGTATCTGCTTCAGTCCACTCTGAAACGTTTGGGCGCACAGATCTGTGGTCTGTTTGTGGAGGTAGAGGAGGAAAAATTCTCTCGTCGCCTCGAAAAGCTGTTTCCGCGTATCGAGAAAGAGACCCACCCTGACAACTATGAAGACGTAAGCATCCTCTTCACCAATTACTCGTGAAGTGTTTTTATTTTATTTTTTTATTCATAAAACACCAAATTGTGTTTTTGTAGATCGATGAGGAGCAGGAGGAGAGAGGAGCAGACCGGTTGTTGTTTACTTATCTAACTCTGGTCACCAAACTGTGCCAGCACTGTGGCTTCTTGGAGCTAAGAAAACATCATGAAACACTGATTCAAATCTGGAGTAAGTGGCAACTAAACCGGGTACATATTCTGAACTCTGAATATCGTAAAGCGCTTTGGGTGACCTTGGTCTGTAAAAAGCGCTGTATGAATAAACATGACTTACTTACTTGCATACATAAACTGGATGACATGTGTGAGTCCAGTTTCTAATGACTTTGGGTGCGTGTACAGGCCACGCCGAGGCCCACCTGCGGCACCCTCACTCCTGGGTTTGGCTCACGGCCTCGCAGCTCTTCGGGCAGCTCTTTGCGGAACATCAGCCCGATCAGCTGCTGAGCCTCTGGAGGGAGGGAAAGGAGACGTCCAATCAACCAGCGGCAAAGGTCTTCATCACCACTGCACTGGACAAGAAGGTATGGACCCTCGAATGATAAAACATGTGGTACAAAGGCTTATTTATAGTATTTTGTATAAAGTATTTTTTTATATTAATTAATTTTTATTTTAAGAAAGCTTTTCAAGGGTGTATAGAATTTTTCACCTCTTTACTTTTAAAGAGGAAATATAATGCATTATTTTTTGCCAATAAAAAGAATAATGAGCCGGTACTTGTCACTTCATGTTTTAGAACGAGAAATTATGTTATAAATAGAATACATTTAGTGAAACGAGGTATGAGGAGTAAAAAATGCTTTCCTCCTGTAACTCCCAATGCTACCACCAAAGGGAGGAGTTGGATTTGAATTTTTTTTTTTTTTACAAAATTGTAAATTACCATCTGAAAACACAGCCAGTTAATTGGTAGTTTATATTGCCAACAACTTTTTCTTGTGTGACCTTTTAATGTTTCTGATATATTTTTTCCAGATGAGGGAGTTGGCACTTGCTTTCTGTTATCAGCTGCAATCTAAGTACTTGGATACATCTTCGGGCGAGCAGGTACTCTTTAATGTTTTGTATCCCGCAGTGTTGAGCTATTGTCTATTTGTTTGCCTTCTAATTTCAGGTCATCAAAAACTTGCTTTTTGTTGGAAAAATTATCTACCTCATTTCGCCTGAGTCTGACGTGCCTTTGGCCACAGAGGAGGAGGGTCAGGCAGGGGAGATGGAAGAGGAGGAAGAGGTGAACGGAAATGCTCTTGAGGAAGAGGAAAGAGAGGAAGAAGACGACAAAGATGACCGACCACCTTCACTGCTGTGGCTAATAAACAAATTGTCCTTAATGGCCAAACGCGAAGCGGCATATTCACCAAAAGTACCTCTCAAGGTAGTCACTGTTATTCATTCACTATGCAAAAGATGATGATGTGTCTTCTGAGAAAATGTCTCGAGCTTTCTTCGCGTATGTATTTTATTGAAACTCTGCTTACTTGTAGAGAACTTGTGTATTTAAATTCCTCGGAGCGATTGGAATGGATTTGGGCAAAGAGCGTCTGGGACCGTATCTGAAAACCATCATCACTCCACTGTACAGAGAGCTGGACAGCACATATGCAGACCAAGGTATGACAAAGAACGCTTTCCATTTCTCTAATCTAACTTATCATATAAAATGTGGTTCACGTTTTGTGGCCTCACTGTTTCGCATTTTTTATCATCAACATCACATAGAACATCATATAACCACTATGAGATGTCAGTTTTCTTAACTTTAAAGTTAGAAGAAAAGATTTGTCTGAGACGGGTGCGTAGTTGAGTCTGAAAGCCTTGTTTTCATGTTTCAGACCCCACCCTGAAGAACCTGGCTCAGGAGCTGATTGAGCTGCTGAAAAAGCAGGTGGGACTGGAGCCTTTCTCTTTGGCCTTTTCTGCCGTTCAGAAGGAGTTCTCCCAGAGACGAGCCGCACGCAAGAGACACAGAGCTCAGCAGGTATGGACTTCATATGCACCTGGCATTTCTGATGCAACATTTGTAGTAGACAGATTTTTGTAAAATTACAGTTGTATAATTGAAAAATATGAATTTCTGGCCTGTGTTTGGTATTAGACAATGTTTGCAATATAATTTAACATGACAGGTGTTTTATTTGATAATGTGTGACATGCATTTCATCAGCCTTCTTTAAGGCAAAATGTTAATTGAGTGACTTTTTCACTTTTTATGATATTTTCACAACTTTGATACCAAGTGTCTGACATTTGTGTTCGTCTTCAGGCGGTTGCAAATCCAGATGTTGCTGCAAAAAAGAAGCTGAAAAAGCACAAGAACAAAATTGAAGCAAAAAAGAGAAAGATTGAGTTCCTTCGACCCGGTTACAAGGCCAAGAAACAGCGGAGTCATGCGCTCAAAGACTTGGCCATGGTCAAGTGAACTTCGGACTTATCATACTCTGCATTTGAAAGACCTTTTGAAAGCCACACTGTGGAAACTGTTTCCATCAAACTGTTCTTTTGGAATCCTTCAGACGACTCTCTACCTGGAGGTTTTCTGTTGCTTTAAGTGACAAGTAACTTCCCTTACTAAGTTGTACAATCGTATAACAATGTTGTTGGCCCTTCTGAGGTGGACATTACAAAAAGTGGGCTGATTATGTAATGCTCAATTTTAAAAAGATGGAACTACCTAATATAATCCACCTAACTAGTTCCTAGCTCTCAAAAGTTATGTAATTTGTCATTTCTAATTAAGCTTTCGTAAGATCTGATATTCTGAGAGCAAAGGTAAATGGATTGGGAGAGGCTGTGCCATTAGAAAATGTGTATCTAGACGTTTTAATATTTGTAATTAAAAGGACAGGAGTAAAACTGGTTCTGTAGCATATTAAAAGTCATTCTAAATATAAATCAAAGACCAACAATTGTCACAATCATCACATTTTACTGAGAATAATTTTTACTGTACAAGCAGATATAAATATGCAAACAATAACACTTTGAGCATAGAGTTAGTGATGACTATGTCAAAGCTGCACTTAGTGGATAAAGTCCTTAAACACTCCAGTAAACTGAACCAATAGACAAAATACATTTTGGGGTGTTGCATTTGCTGGAATATACTACAAATACATGCTGCAGTTACAGTTGGCAAAGGAGTAATTAAATACCACAACCTCATTACCCCATGTAACTAGCAAATATTTCATAACAGGAAATACAGATGGAATTTACTGGTGTTTATGAATATGTGGTGTTTAATGGTTTGTCAATCATTCCTCATATTGAATTATGGATAACAGACCGCCACAAAATGCAGACTGCAAAAGGCAATATGGTCAAATTGTGAAAAAAACGCTTGCTTTCTATTGGCTGTCCACACATCAGTTAATTTGTCCCAACCAACAGCAATAGTGTAGTCCAGGCGTTACTGCAGATTTATGTCCAAAAGTTCAATATTGAGTCTTGACCTTTGATGGGTTTTTTGTTGAAAAGGGATAGAAAAAAAATGGGAAGGAGTGCAATCATGGGTCCAAAAATTTAAGATTAGAGATGGAAGCAGGAATGGGGGGAGTCACAACGAAATATGCGCCAGGGTCAAAGAGCGTATGTACAAAAAGGTGCATCACTGTCGACTCTTGAGGGCGTCCACCAACCTGAGGGGGAAGAAAAGGTAGGAAAATTGTTGAGGCATATGTGGTGTGGAAGAATCTTTTTTTTTTGTGCTTTAGCTATATATTATGTGTAATTGCTGTTTTGGTCATTGACCACAACACTAGTGGTCAGCCAATCAGTGTTTTACGTCACAAAATGTCAGACGATTTTTTTTAGTATCTGGGAATATAAGGATGTCTGGTCTCACTATGTAATGTATACAGGTAATGTTTTTTTTAATACAACATCCAATATATACATACAGCAGTAATTTATAGTAAATGGCAATAGAAGAATAAAGGCTCACCACTCCATGCCCTCGTCAAGTCCTGTTCCTTTGGTGGCTGATGTTTTAAAAATCTGCCATTTTCTGTCTTTGAGAGCAGGAAGTCCCAGTGAGTTTGCTACTTCTGCAGGCGTCAAGGCCTGGTCCATGTCCTGTTTGTTTGCAAAGACCACCAGGATGGCTTTCCTCAGTTCCTCTTCCTGGAGGAAATGGACAACATGCAAGTATGTATCATGAATAAGTTACATGCATCCAAACAGCAAACTTAATAAAACATAAGTATTCTTTGATATTTACAAGAATCCATGTTAGTGATGTGAGTGTATGAGCAAAGGAAGGTTTCTCACCCATCATCTGTACTTCTTAGCAAGTTTGTCCGACGTTTCGTCCTCAATCCAAAGAACTTCTTAAGTCGGGAAAACTTGCTAAGAAGTACAGATGATGGGTGAGAAACCTTCGTTTGCTTTGAATAATCCCTGTACGACTGAGGGCTTACACAAACTGATGTGAGTCTATGTTAGATGTTTAATAGTTTATAGTTGAAAAATAGTCTGTGCAAATAAATCCTCCTTCTGATTAATTTGTTTCACAAACCTCCAACATGGCAATCAACTCGGATTTGGAAATCCCCATTCTGTCGCGGTCACTGCTGTCCACAACATAAATGACAGCGTCTGTGTTTGAGTAGTAACACCGCCAGTATGGCCTATAAAGAAACAATATCTAGTGAAATCAAAGTAGTGGACATTTATCCAATCTTAGTCCTCTGTGCACTGACCTTATACTTGTCTGGCCTCCAAGATCCCATACCTGAAACTTGAGGTTCTTGTAGGTGACGGTCTCAACATTAAAACCAATTGCTGAGAAAAAGAGAATTCTTCAACTAATGTTACACAAAACAGAACGATTAACTCAAGATTCATTATAATATATCAGCTAGGGCTGGGCAATAAATCGAATTTAGGCAATTAATTGGCTTTTGAAAAAATCGAATTTGTGAAAAAGGTTAAAATCGTGAAATCGAATGAAGGATATTGTGAGAGTTCCAGCAGCACATGAATCATATTTGCAAAATCAGCACAGTCTGTACAAGACTTTTTAAATACATATTAGGGGAAACAAATTAGAAATAGTTTTGAAACTTGAATATTGAGCGGAAAGATAAAAAAATATATTTTTAAGGGCAAAGTCTGTCTTTGGACGATTTCAATTTTTAAATCTATTTTTAGTCACCAAAGCAGCTTTTTTGCCATACCGCCCAGACCTAATATCAGCGCGTGTTTGTTCAATAGTACAAAGCAGTTATGATATCAAAGTAAGGAACACATTATTACATTTTGGTGCTCTTCAAGCACTTTTGCAGTTACAAATGGTATTGTTCATCAATCAGACAATTGCACATAAGGCAGTCTCTAAAAGGGATGAAGGGGTAAATACATCCTATATAAGATAAGATAAGATGTGCTTTATTTGTCTCACAAAGGAGAAATTTACATGTCACATTGGCATGGATAGAAACACTAAGATTGTGCAAAAGAAAGAAATGTGCAAACATGCTACATGCAGGAAAATGTGTACTAGACAATTACAGCTAAGAAAAAGAAAAAGTGCTTACTGGGAATAGTTGTGACAACTTCTCCAACTTGCAGACGATAAAGTATGGTTGTTTTTCCAGCTCCATCCAAACCCAGAATTAAAATCCTCATTTCCCTTGTGCCAAACAGGCCTGAGAAAAGACTGGAGAAAAATCCTCCTGGAAAGACAAGAAACCAGTATTTCCAGTATGACCATACAATAATAAATTCCATAAAATCATATCGCAATAACTTGAAACACAATATTTACAGATAATGGACAGTACTAGACTGGAGTGTATTGTATTGGGCATGGGTGGTTACAAAGAGGACAGAAAAAGACCATAACATCAGAGACTGTTCAAGTTTAAAGCTCCTGTAATGACTGTAGTGCACGTTATGTTGGGCTCTTGTTTACTTTAGTTTTCGAGCGCTGTGGTCATTTCCGTGCACAGGTCGAGATTATAATCGATCCTTGGCAGCGTTTCACTGGACACTAGCTACGTATTTGCATTTTATGCGTTTGACTTGTTGGTGTTATTTACGGTGTGTAGTTGATTGGCGTGTGACGTGTGAAAAGTTTGATGGATAAATAAAACAAGAACTGAGGTAAAACACAGAGTGTGTGTAACATCTTATTTAGCTTAATTTTAGCAGTTTACGCTAGCTGCTATATGTTTATCATTGTGGCGTACGACATAAACGTAACGTGAACCAGAAACTAAAGCAACCAAATAATTTCAAACGATCTGGACGCAGATTGAAACGCGTTATTTTAAAGCTTACCCATTGTGAAAGACAGCTGCGGTAAGAAAAGCAGCAAGCGTTTTCTTCCGTGTGGTTGACGTGTCACTGAGAGCGTCACTACAGTCTATGCACCAGCCTCGCTGTGAACTTGTTTCGCACATTCAAAATATTTATGTGATAGAGAAAATATTGACTGACTCAATAAAGTGAAAACGTTATTTTCTAAATACATTTTTATCAAAACAAAATGCAATTATAATTAATTCACATTAAACATAATGTTGAATCTGCTCTGTAGAAATAGAGCGGATTCATTAAGCACGTTTAAAGCTGCATTCACAAACTCACGTTGAAATTGTGTTCGTATCTATTTGTCAGCGGTGGGAGGTGTTGACAAGAACTACTTTGTTTTGAACGTAGCTTAGAAAGCAGCAGCGTCAAGGAGTTGCCCTCAAACCATACTCAAGCAGTATATTTTTTATTACCGCTGGAAATTGTTTTGATAGAGGGCACACCGGGGCGTGAGAGTGTTCGACCACATTAAGGAGATGTAATTATGTCGGTTTTCGTTTGAGGTGTAATGTTCGGATGGACTCAGACGGGCTGATCCATCCTCCAGTCCGCGGTGACACAGACGAGGCGGGACAGGGATGATGGAGCGCTCGGACAGGGCTCCTCTGCTGGACTTTGAGGAGGCTCCGTCTGCGGAGAAGCCCGAAGGAGACGCTCCTGATGACCGACTGGCCAGTCCTTCCAACAGCCGCTCTGTCGTGTCTGCGTTTGGGTGGAGCAGCGGCCAGGGGGCTCCCAGTAACCCACTGGTCACTGACCAAGCACCTGTGCCGCATGAGGAGGGCTGTCTACCCGAGGAGGTGGCCTTGGAAGACAGCATGGTGAACTGGGAAGAAAAGGACCAGATAGTGTCAGTCTTTGTGGTTACATTCAATACAAGAACAGGTGAGAGGACATCTGATGCCAACAGCGTGATTTCATTGTTGTGCGGTAGTGTCTACTCAAAATGTTTCCCCCAAAAGACATACAGTGACATATTCTTTAATGGCATCCTGCAAAAGAACAGTGATCCTAGTTCATTTAAATTTAATGCGTTGTAAGATTATTTGTTTGAATTTGGTCTAAGTATTATTTATGTTGATTGATAATTATGTTAGTTTATTTGGGACAAAATATTTATATTTTCATAATGTGCATTTTCATTCAACTTTACAAAAGACTGGCCTATAGTATTGTGACCGTGCACTAACTACGAGGCCTGTTGTTCTACATTTTACATCTAGTGAACAATAGTAAATTGCAATGAATTTGTAATACTACTGGTGTGGTATTAACACAGGTGTGGCCTTTAGTAGTAGATGTATTCTACACGTTCTCTGCTCTCCAATCAGGTACATTTAAAAGTCAAGGAGATTAATACTGAGTAAATCAATGGTATTCCATCCAAGCAGAGTGAGTCTATACATTTTTAATTAGTGCTATGTTAGAGACCAGACAATCTTGGTGAGCTAGGAGCCAATAGGGTTATAGTCTGACAAATTTAAACATTAGGAACCTGACTAAATCCATAAAGAAAACCAGGTTAGGATTTCTGTACATTTAATGTTAAGTTCAACATGTGTTCCCCCTAAAAGGAAGGGTAAAAAACTTTAACAGTGCCCCCTTCCCTCATCATTATTGTAGTATTATATTATCTCACTTTTCCTAAGTGCAAAACGCCCATGTTGTGGAAAACTACCAATGTTTGTCACTCTAACCACACCATCCCCAGTGTCAAACCTGGGGGTGGCAGCATCATGCTGTGGGGCTGCTTTTCTTCAATACAATAGTATAATTTTCTTAAACATAAAGCCATTTCATACAATGCGTTTGGAAGGCTTTTAAAACTTTTTTTTTTAAATAATTTTTTTAAACAAAGTCCAGCCCTAAAACCATTTGAGATTCTGTGTCTAAAAACTGCTGTTGCCAAACCCTCTCCACCTAATCTGTCAGAGCTTGAGCTGTTTTACAAAGAGGAATGGGAAAACAAATTCTGTCTCTAGATATGTATAGCTTATAGAATCATACCTCAAAAGACTTGAAGCTGTAATTCAATCAAAATAACCAGCTGTTTGGGAATCTTCTTGTTTAAAACCACTGGGAAAATCATGGGCACGCCTGTCCCTATTGGCCGCCAGGAGCTGTATGAGCAGGCCATGAGGAGACAGACCAGGAGCATCCTCTCTGATCCTACACATGTACTTTTCCCTGAATATGAGCTTTTGAACTGTGGGAGGAGGTACAGAGTGCCTCGGTGCCGACTCAATCGGAAAAAGAACTCATTCATACCTGTTTCAGTGAATCTGTTAAATAAGGATATGAGGAGATGATGAGTGTGTGTATTTTTTGTATTGAAATGTAGCAGACCCATCTGTCCAAACCAAATCTCTCCTAAAGGAGACAAAAATAAACAATCTTGAATCTTGAAAAGGCAGTTTCACAACGTATGAACTCACAGGAGCTTATACTTTTGCTTTTCATTTTTAATAATTGAAAAGTGTCTTGTAGAAGTAAAATGTGAACAAAATGCTCTCACTTTGCAGTTGTCTGCCACACAAAATATGGCTCTGTTCACATCTGAATCGTAGGCAACAATGTAGCAGAATATCCACAAGAGCCCATGACTCCGGAACATTTTCTAAAAAACAAAGAGAGGGCGTCATTTGTCAACTTCAGTCTCTCTCTCTACTTCCTTCAGACAAGGTCAGAAATTTGGGGGTAATACTGGACTCAGACCTAAATTTCAATAGCCACATAAAATCAATAACATCAACAGCTTTTTACCATCTGAAGAACATTGCCAAAGTTAGAAATATAGTGTCCAGGGCAGACTTGGAGATTCTTGTCCATGCATTTGTCTCCAGCAGGCTAGACTACTGCAATGGCCTGCTTACAGGTCTGTCCAAACAGACCTGTAAGCAGCTGCAGTACATCCAAAATGCAGCAGCTAGAGTCCTGACAGGAACCAGGAAGTATGACCATATTAGTCCGGTCCTCAGGTCTCTGCACTGGCTTCCTGTGGCTCAAAGAATAGATTTAAAACGGCTCTGCTTGTGTACAAGTCTCTCCATGGCCTTGCACCAGAATACATTAGTGACATGTTGGTGTCATATGAACCAGCCCGGACTCTGAGGAGCACAGGGACTGGCCTCCTGCTGGTGCCCAGAGTGAGAACCAAACATGGGGAGGCTGCGTTTCAGATCCATGCAGCTAAGATCTGGAACAATCTCCCTGAAAATGTGAGGGAGGCGTCTACTCTGTCAATGTTCAAATCCAGGTTAAAGACTGTTCTGTTTGCCTGTGCATACAACTGAAGGATTTTATCTCCATTTTTAATGCACTGCTGTCATTTATTTATTTATTTAAATTTCTTGTGTAATTTTGAAAGTTTTAATGGTTTTATTCTTTTGTGTGATTTTAATGTTTTAATTGTGTTTTAATCTTTTGTGTGATTTTAATGTTTTAATTGTGATTCTGGTGTTTGTTTTATGTGATGATTTGTGATGTGGACTGTGAAGCGCTTTGTGTTGCCATGTGTATGAAAGGCGCTCTACAAATAAACTTTGATTGATTGATTGAAACTGTCACTGCCATAAATAAGATAAGAGATCCTTTATTCTTCTCACAGTGGGGAAATTTCAATGTTGCAGCGCACATACAAGACAGTAGTTAGAGCACACAGGGAGCACACAAAATGTACCAAATAAGTAGTAGCTATGTTTCTTAACTAGCTGTAAATGCTGTAAATGCTTCAATACCAGTATATATAATAAATGACGTATTCATACATTGATTAATACTACCGTATTATATGGCACAGCTGGTGACCTTTTCTTCCTTTGATTAAAATTCTACAGTTTTACCTAAAACCACAATAAATAGACAGGATTGAGTGATGAGTCACTTGTTATCCTGTTCTGTATTTGCTCAGCTGCCACTCGGACGTCATAAAAGCTGCACAAAACACGGGCTTTGTATTGTCTTATTTAATGACATGACAGGGTCTAAATATGGAACTGTGGAGTGTGCAATTAATGGCCTTTGCATGTGTTCATTGTGTTTTTGACAGGGAACATGCTGGAGTGGTGTCTTCCCAAAGACATGGATCTGGAGGGGGTGGAGTTCAAGGCGATAGCCAGTGGCTCTCACCGGGTCTCCACAGACTTCATGTAGGAGATGTTGCAACTTTGCCCACCTCCTCTACACAATATAGTTAATTATTGATGAGTTTATTATAGGTATACTTAATGTTAGAGCGAGTGTCTTTTAGAGCAAGGATCTCATTTTGTTTTTGCCCGGGTCAAACTAATAATATTCATAAAGTTGGTTGGGGGCCACAACTTTTAGATGTCTGAACAAAATTCGATCACTTGTGTTTGGAATGAACCAAATCTGTACCAAAGGTAAAGTGTATTGCAAAATGATATATATATATTTTTTTATTAAACTATAACTAATTATTGTAGTTTTGTTGAGCACATTAGCTTTAAAATTATGTGTATAGTATTACTTGAAAATCAAAGGCCACAAAAATGACTGCAAAACTCCCTGTGTGGTGGAATACTTTCAATCAAATTCATTTTATTTTTGTATAGCCCTAAATCACAACAGTACCGTAGTTACTTGACGTGCAGTGATTTGATGATTCAGATTCAGAAAACTTGCAGCATAAACTCAAAGCAGAACACACATACAGAAACACACAGTGAGTCTCACAGTTCAGACAGCAGCAGGTTACACGATAAATGTTGAGGTTCATAAATGTTGTTGAGGGTCCTGGATCATCACCACTGTCGTTGCATCAACAAGGAACAACTCAAAACAAAGCCAGTGGGGGAAGAAATATTGAGAGAAACTTCTTAGCGATTCTCACTTGATGCATAAGCCAAAATATGATACATACCTAGATGCATGGAACTTTCAATTTGATATTTATTTATGTAAATCAATCATTATTTTTTAGCTCACCCCAATTTACTTACATTTATCTGATGTTAAAACTTGGTGTGGTGGCACTAGTGGGTTTCAAATTCCAGTCAAAACAAAATATAAAATCAAAAAGCTGGTTTACAAAGGTCATTTGTAATTGTTTCGACATGGTTTGTATCCCATTTCAGCTATTTCCGAAAGGGCAGCTACTTTGGCCTGGCCTGCTTTGCCAACATGGCGGTGGAGAGCACAGTGGAGCGAGGGGCCAGGATGAAGTCGGTGGGGATCCTGTCTCCTTCATATACTCTGCTCTACAGATACATGAGCTTCCTGGAGCATCAGGTCAGGTAAGCAGACAGCGCTCACTGACTAGAGCTCATTACCTGGGGATACTTCAGCTTTGTCATTATTTGTGGCACACTGAATGCAGAACGTGTAGCACCCCCAAAACATTGGGCGTTACATGCAGGTACTTCAGCCACTACACTGCAAAAAATGGTAAAATATGAGTTCATCATTGCTAGAATCGAGGGGTTTTTATCTTGGTTTGAGTACATTCTGACTGTCGTAAAAACAAGATTTGCTAATGGGATTTGTCTTATTTCAAGAACTGTTGCTTTATTTTCTCATTCCAAGGGAGACATCTCTTGTATCTTTTTAAAACAATATCATTTTACTTAATGTGCTCAAATTAAGATACATTTAGCCAAATTGGAGCCATTTTGAACTTATTTTTCATTACTTTTTGGGGGACACGGTTTCATCAGTTTGTAGTACATACAAATTGTCGGAACATTTCAGCTTTAAGGCATACAAACAAATGTTTTCACAAGAGCACAATCATTCAACAAGCCATTAACAATAGTAAAAAAAACAGCATCAAATAAAATCAAGCAGAAGAAAAGTTTTCATAAATGTATAGATGCTATGTATATCAGCACGGTGGCTGAGTGGATAGCACTCTCGCTTCTCAGCAAGAAGGTCCTGGGTTCGAATCCTGGTCGGAACAGGGCCTTTTTGAGTGGAGTTTGCATGTTCTCCCTGTGTCTGCGTAGGTTTCCTCCGGGTGCTCCAGTTTCCCCTACTACTAAAAACATGCCCAATAGTTCTGGCATGCGCCTCCTGTACTGGCGACCCTGCTCCATCTGTGTGCAGTGAGAGGACAAATGCCCAAAAATAACTATTGTAAACCGCTTTGTGACTCTGGTCTGTGAAAGGTGGTATATAAATAAAGATTACTTACTTACTTACTTATATGTAGAATCATTTACATGTTTTTCTTCAGCATAAGTAACCCTCTACCAAGACAAGTGGTTCCTAAAGGTGTCTGAAAAGTTTGGGAACCCCTGCCTTGGACCCCACAGAGGAACTCTTTGAGAAATACAGTATTGATAGTAGTGATAAATCAATATTTCAATAAGTGATGTAATTCTTCAATCAACTTGTTAAAGCACTTCACATGATGGCACAACAAAATAACATGATGCACGTCCAATAACCCCAGAAGACAGTTCTGCTTTTTTCTACAATCTTCTGCTTTTTTATTTCCCTTTTTAAGTATATTCCACTTTCTTGTTTTAAGAAAGTTTGAAAATATGGAGACGATTGTGACTTATTTTGGTTTCGTTCTTTCTTGAGTCTATTTTGTCAAGAGAGAAAGTCTCTTTGCTTCTCCCTGATTGTCCTCTTGTTTTCTGTCCCATCCATGGTGGGTTTGGCCTGGAGTCATGCGGTTGACGTGCTCCTCACTCATGTCCATCTGTGTCCATCATGGCTGCGTCTGCTGCTTACATAAAGGGCTTAGTGTTCATCACGCGGTGATTAAGACATTTAGACATTTCAAATCAGCCAGGCCTTGTCCTGGCATTTCTGTCGCATTCGGAGTTCCTTCCATGATATAGTAAAACACAATGAAGCTATTATGAAAAGTTAAAGCTGGGGTACCTAACTTTCAAGGACCACCCTCTCTCAGCCAATCCGCTCTCGTCCCACATTAGTGTCAAATTATGACTTGCAGAGCTATATCATGGGTCTCCCTCCCTGTGGGTTTCCCTAGTTCTCCTCCAAGGTTTCTCACTTTTTCCCACTGGGTTTTTTAAGAGTTTTTCCTTGTCGATGCAGGAGGGTCTTGTTGGACAGTTAGTGTCCAACAGAAAGGATTGGTGATGATCAGGACACTTTAGCATTCTACAACATGTATGGACATTTTTTTCTGTGTGTGCTTTATATTCTTCATGTGTTTTAACTGTTGATTCTCTGACCTGTGTTGGTGATTTCAATGGTTTTGTTAAGTCCTCTGAGATGACTTCTGTTGTGACCTAGGGCTATACAAGAATAAATTGTATTGTGTATTGTATTGTATATCAAGTATGGAACAGATGTTTTTTTTTCTAATAAAACGAAGGTTGCATGTTGTTGTACTCTGATTTATTACAACATTTTACTTCTACAAGACCCTTTCTGTTGGTACAAATATATTTATTAGTATTAATTATGAAAACAGTGTCCCAGCTGTAAGTCAAGAACAGACTTTTATTTTAAACATAATAAGCCAGATAAAATATTGATTATGGATTGGATGGATTATTTGTTGCAGATTTACAGAACCAACACAAATAATAAATGTTTTCGAATCAGTTGGTCTCATTTTCACATATTTATATAACATGTACAATTTGTCGGTTGATATTTTTGTCTAACCAGACTCCAGCTTCAGACTCCAGGCCACTACTCCCCTCTTGAAGCCTTTTATGAAGATAAGAGAGCAGTGCTGCCCCCTGGTGGCGATGGCATTGTTTCTGCTTGTCAAGCTAATGCCTGGGGAGCAGTCACCAATCACAGCATGCACCCTGAAATGAAGGTACATCCCAAGAACCGTTTATACTATCAATTTTTATACTTTATATTATTATTTGATTCTAGTTTAGTTTTTTATGTATTGTGTTGTGTGCTCCTCATTCCTACTGTTCTGTAACTTGTGATGCTACATTGAAATATTAACAAGAATACATGAAACTATAAAGAAAGGGTTTGAGAAAAGAAGATTGTGTTTGCCCGTGTCCTTCAGATCACACACCCCGCCGGCTGCATGTCCCAGTTCATCCGCTTTTTCGGGGAGCAGATCATGGTGCTGTGGAAGCTGGCGTTGCTCCGGAGACGCATCCTCATCTTCTCTCCTCCACCTGTGGGAGTGGTCTGTTACCGAGGTTAGTCAGTGCACCGTCAGTATTTCTGTAACGATAAGAGTATTGTCTACAACTGTCCTAACCCACCCAGGCAAAAACGTTTTTTTAATCATTGTTCACAGTTATGTGACGCCATTTATTGTCCAATAAACCTGAAAAATAAGCCTGATCAGAAGTTTACATCCCACAGTTGTCCTTTTGGCACCTGCAGTTTTTTGAGAAATGTATTGTGAAATAGACAAAAGGTGACGCCCTGTAGCTTGATAAGAGATAGTGGACTATTTAAATAAATGGGAAGCCAAGCTATATAGAAAGTGACCTAGACTTAGGAGCTAGTGTAGCATTTTGCGCCTAAAAGACTAAACATATATGCAGGCCTAGGATCCATAGCTGATAAGATAGAGAAAGATGTATACAAGGGCAACGTAAAGAACACACTTATTATAAGATAAGATACACTTTATTGATCTCACACTGGAGAAATTTAATGTCACATTTGGCAGAGATAGAATCACTCAGATTTGTGCAAAAGTTAGAAGTGTGCAAACATGTTAAAGGCAAAAAAAAAGATTCACATATGTAGAGGTATTTACTGGTATTTTATTGTTTTTATTAAATTTGTATTGTTTTTACGTTAAATTTTTATATCATAATTGTTTTGCTTCATCTATTTTGATACATATATTATATTATTTAAATGTGTTACTTTTATCTCTGTGGGTCACAGCTCGTCTACTCTACTAAATACTCAGTGTATATTTTTGTTATCGTAGCTTAGAACTTTTCAACCCTTCTTTGCTGTACCATTTGTAGTCATTCTTAATTAGTCTAATAGTATAATGAGAATACTGATGTTGACAATGTTCCCTAGTGTACTGCTGCTGCTGTCTGGCCAACATCTCCATCCCTGGAATTGGCGTCGCGGTGCCCGAGTTCAGGCCCTTTTTCTACGTAAACGTGGCCGACATCAGTGCTCTGGAAAATGAGCTCTCTTATGTCGCTTGTAAGAAACAAATCTTTCCTGTACTCTCCACAAGATCCACATTTTGTATGAACGGCTTTCACTTTTCTTTTTAGGCACTACAGAGAAGATTTTTGAGGAGAAGAAGGATCTGTATGACGTTTATGTGGACAACCAGAATGTGAAGACGCACAGAGAAGGACTGAAGCCGCTGCTCCGGCTCAGCGCTGCCGACAAAGACAAGTACCACAAACTCACAGAGCAAAGGTACACCGGCCATTATTGTATTATTATGTAAAAAGAAAACAAGAAAAGCATTGAGTTTATTGTCGTCGTATATTGAATTTTAAATGAGCTTTTATTTTTCCATTTGGAATTTTTAGCCATGAAAAAGCATGTTTTAAATTTTTTGTCTTTGCTTTTCAGTCACTAAAAATTCAGTTTAAAAATGTCAATGTGATTAAAATTTCAAAATGACATATTTGTCTTAAAAATCTTCAATACGTTTATTTTTGAGCCCTCAAGATCAATGCACTGGGATAAATCAATGAAAACAAAAAAAGACAGATTATTTGTGTCAAACGAACTGAAATGCAACGATACAAAAATACAGATATTCAAACATGCTTTTCTTGAATAAAAATGCCGACCTGACAAATCTATTACATACAAGATTTGTACTGCAGAGATTTCCTGACTGTCCGAATCCTTTTCTAGGCAGATGTTGTTGTACTCTCAAGAGGAGACTGGAGACTGTGTGTCCAGTGAAGAGGACCTTTTTATTTTGTAAGTACATACATATCTAAATAAATAAATAGACAAGATATAAAGATATAAACCTAGGATCCGTGAATCAAAAATATTACCCAGGGTTCGTCCAAGGAAAACTTGAGGGAGCCTCGGGAAATCAAAGTCAGAAAATCCACTTTCAAGGCCTTAGAATTGTTTTACAATTTGGGTTACCTTAATGTTTTGGTTTTAAACACAAATCTAATTCTCATTTATGATTATGAATTTGTAACAGACAAGACAACGTATTGTCTGAGTAAAAACCCCAAGATAAGATAATCCCTGGCCCGGACTGGCCATCGGGAGCATCGGGAGATCTCCCGGTGGCCTGCGTGTCAAAGTGGCCTGGGCCTGCCCTATCATCACGGTCTTGTTATTTTTTTTATTTTTATTTTTTTCTTTTAATTTAATTTCATCCTCACGGTCTTTGCAAACTCCTACCCTGCCTGGTGGCCTGGTCCAATGAGCAAGGCCCAGGCCAAAGCCAGTGTTGTGCGTGAACGAGTTCAAAAGAACGCGTTCATTGAACACGCTCATTTTTTCGTGAACGTTGAACTGAACGCAACACATTTTTTAATAAAGAACTTGAGCGTGAATTAGTACATATTATGTGTCATGAACGGCAGACAATTTGTTTTCCATTTAAAACTGAGTGAAATCTGTTTTCTCTTTTGAAACGCAACGAGAGAAAGTTCCTCCCTCCTGTATTCTCCGCACTGTTTCCGCCGAAAACTAAAAATTCCTACGGTTTCCACCGTCTGTGAACGCACCCCGACTCAGTGTACTTGCGGTGCGGCGCTATATGCTAGTGCTATTCATTGGTTGTTGGACTCACATGTGCCGTGATGAAAACACAGGGGTAAGTCAGTGACACAGGGCCGTTTACATTTGACATAAAGTATAGACACACGTTCTGCAGCGCAATACAGTTTGTACTTATGAGCAGAGATGGGACAACTCAGTTCCCATTGAAACCCATGTAAATCTTGTCTGCATTGGAGTCAAAACATCCTGTGCAGTGTTCAGGATATAATATATAATTATATCCTGAACATATATATATATATATATATATATATATATATATATATATATATATATATATATATATATATATATATATATACCACGTATTGTGATTTCTAGCTCGTAGTGAAAAAAAATATTTATTTGAATATCTCGCAAAAAGTAAAATGAACTGAACTTTGAACTAGTTCAGAATTAAAATTGAGAACTTCGAACGTGAACTGTTCACTTTGAGCATGTATGAACTGAACTTGAACTAGTTCAGAAAAGCTGTGAACTGGCACAACACTGGCCAAAGCTTTACTGTCATTGGGCCTGAGCAAAATTAAACAAATGTGACGTCACACGTCGGCTACACAGCCAGGCCAGCCCAGCAGTGCACCCAGTGTAGCTTCCCCGGTTGAAATGAGTGGTCTCTCCAACATATGGTTCATACACGTTTTTATTTTTCCTTTTATATGAGCTGTAACGATGTGATTTTACCTTACTACTTTTTTAACAATAATTGATTAGCTGGTTATAGTTATACACTAATGAACACTTAGTTCATTGTGTGTGCGTGTGTGTGTGTCTTTATTCTCACTAAACTCCATAAACGTTACGTTGCTAAGCAACGTACAACAATCCTTAAACGTCCGAGATTATATAAACAGTCAATATAAAAAAAAAATAAAGAAAACAAAAGTTTTGACAGTCAATCTTAAAACTATTAAAAGAACATCAAAATACAATGACAAAAACCCAAATTTAGAACCTTGTTTGGCCTGAATGGATGAAAAGCTCCCGGCCTGAAATGTTGTCCCACTCCGGCCCTGGATAATCCTAAATACTGCCAGTAAGATTTAAGAGTTAAACCAATGGCAAGAGGGCTCTGTTTTGTAAGCAGGGGAGCATTCACAGTTTACTTTTTTTTAAACATAATCTTACCTCTTCGTTCGTCTTTTTTTTTTTTTTACTTTAGAAAATCCATGGGACTTTGAGCATTTCTTCACTTGAACTTTTGAGACATTGAAATCTGTTCTTTCCGACCAGGTTCTTCTTGGAGCAGAACAACCGCATCTTCCAGACACTGAGTGAAGTGGCCAACAGCAGCGAGCCCACCCTGACCCAGGAAACTGTTAGGGCCATGGGGCTGGACCCTCACGGAGACCGCCTGTTCCTGCTCCACCTGCTGGAGATCTACGGCTACGACACGCTACTCGTCTCTGACCAACTCTGCTGCAGCTGAGGAACCTCAAAAGAAGACGAGGATGCATCTGGATTCATAAAAAAAAAACCTTCTTTATGATGAAAATGGTGGAAAAGAATGGGCCTTTTTTGAGATGGTGAATTTCGAATTTCGAGACCATTTTGAGACTATTTGCCACCAAATTCGGTGAGAAGGAAAGACCAGGAAGGTGGCTTTTACTCTGAATTTGGATGCATCCAAGTGTTTCGCCTTGAGTTTATAATATACTGCTATTCCAGTAATCCTGTCTTTGTTGACAGGAAAAGTATATCCAAACATTTTCAGTAAGAAGCCACAGAAGAACTGCCAATTTAGTCAGATCCATTTAAAGTTTAAAGAGTCTACCTTTTGTTATAAATTAATTATGACTGAAAATTGCAGAGATGATAAATTCCAAAGATATACATATAGAAATGATTGCCTAAATTATAATTAAAAAGGGTTTGTATAGTCTTTGGGTACTGGCTTTTATTAGAGACTGAACAAAAAGTTACAAAAAGTAAAATTAATGCGCGCTGAAAAGTGTTAAGGTTTGAAACTAAAGCCTTTTTAGTTGCGAGCTGAAAGAAAGGAAGCCATTTTGTGAATATGTATTTGTGGTATATGTGTGGTTTGGGTTTTGCTCTTTGTACAAAAGTGCTGGATATCATGTTGAACTAAATGCCTCTATGTCCAATTCAGGTCCACGTTAGTTGAGCCGTGGTGTCCAACTGCCTTCACATTCACAAGCCATGTCTGTAAACACTTCACTTACTGCTGCAGAAGTGGTTCAGCTCAAAGTCAAAGCTCATGTGACTTAATGAATGCACCGGAAAATACAACAGGAGACAAGCTGTTGGCTGGGCCTGCAGAATCAAAGTGCTTGAGGATAATTATTGCTGTAATTACATTTTGTCTGAGTGATAAACATAGTTAGAATGTACATGGTGCTGAGTACTGTTCAAAATAAACTTAAAAAGTAAAAGGGGCCACATCAAAAACTTGTGCATTACAGGTCTACAGTTGTAGATGGAGGACACAGCTGCTATGACTGAGCTCTGAATAATCATTTGCTGGAGATTGAATTGTGAGATTCTGTTCTCTGATTATCTTGACATCAATCAGTATGCAATGTGGCATGATAAAGAGTATCTGCCAAAAATAATGGAAATAGTTCCCCTTTAATTAAATAGTGGTAAAGGGAAGTTATGAACATTAAACATGGTCCCATCAAAACTCTTGTACTGGCACCCAGCCCTAATATCAAACTGGTTGATGCCAGACATGGAAGCAGTCGTATTGGAAGCCCTCATGTTTGAACTGTCTTTGACCCGCTTCTTCTGATCAGTGTGAGTAAAACAGAACTTCTCTCTCAACATGCTAGGTTCCAAAATACTATTACTACACTAAGAATAATTGCTTAGGGATAATTATTTTAAGGACAGACAATGAATGCACTTTTATCACATGCTTTTTTTTTTACATACAAAACAATCCCGACTTTGTCCTGAAGCTCTCACGGCGTGCTCTTCATCGTTACGTGTCCCCTGCACAAGATACTATTGTTTTATCTACAATTAAATATTTTGTGTTAGTAAAGGATTTTGCTGTAAATATCTGTAATGTAAAGAAGTGGAATGTGTTTTTGTGGCCCCTTGTGATCCCAGTCAGAGGTGGAAAGACTTTACGTTATCTCAGTTCATTTCATCTCTTTATCCATCCATTCTGGTATAACCATACATTTTACAGCTAAAAAGAGAATTATTTTAACATCCAATAAAGTACATTTTATTTGAATATGTGCTTTGCAAGTTTAAAGTCTGCTGGAGTATTTCCACCTCAGTGTTCATGTGTATTTTGCGCACAAACACAATGTTCAGATTTCTGTTGAAGACTGATTAAAAGAGACATGAGACAGTTAAAACGCTTTTATTTATTATTATAATAAAAACATTCTCACAAAGTGCATTGTCGCGGATAAGGCAGTGTCCCTCAAGTTACTATCATTTAATTGGCATCAAACTATTTCAAAATAATGTTGAAAATCAATCCAAAGGAATAACCTATGCAGGTGCTAGTATTAATTCACTTTATGACATTGTTCATAGACACTCGTGTTAAAAAAATAATTTATATTTTAAAAAAACTTTATATAAAAACAGTCTGTCAATAATATTTATATGTCCTTCATGGATTCAAATTTATTGTGTGTCGTCAATAATAACATAGTCTTCACTGCTGGAGGAGCTGGCGTCGTTACCGGGGTCAGAGGAGGGGGCAGTTGCCGCCTTAAGTGCGGTCATCCAGCGGTCTCGGAGCTCCGTGTGGTCACAGAAGAAAGTGTGCGAGATTTTAGATTGTCTTAAAGAGAAACAAACTTGACCTTGAAAGTCCTGTGGACCTGTATCCACCGTGTAGCCGGGCAGGGGGATAGTGGACTGTGGTTTTGTGTCCTAAAGAGGAGCGCAGAGGTGAATGTCAAAGTGAACAGTCAAACAAGGAATGATTTTAGAAAAAAAAAAGTATTGATAAAGGGCAGTAGTCTTCAAACCCGTCCAGATATGGCCGGGGGGCGGGCTTGGAAATTAGTTTATTAGTTTCTAATCAAGACAAGGAGCACAGCAGACTCCACCCATTTCTTCAAGTGAGTCCAGTCTTAAGACTTGAAAGACTTGGGTTGAGTCTTGTGTGCCCTTTGAGAACCGGGTTTAGACCGCCTATTTCTACAGATATGTGGACATGTTTCTCTCATAATATTGAATTTCTATAAATCGCAAGATATTTGTCAATCCAAACATCTGTTTCCGTACCTGTGGGGACGCATACAGGTACAGGACCAATGGATCCTTTTTGGACAGGACAGTCCAAGTTAGCTGCTTCGTTTGTGGGTTGTCTCCATAATTTAAGAATCCACTCATTAAACTGGGCCATATGTGAATGTCTGACTGTAGCAACACAAAAACATTTCATTAGAAAAATAATAGTTAATAGTCTAAGACATTCCGATAGAACTTCAGTAACAAAATCACCCCACAACATGCTGTCTTCATCTTATTTTCATAGTTGTAAGAAAGAGCCCTGTGAGTCAGTATGTCAACCCTTTGGGTAAGAGCCGATTGGCTGAGTGAGGGTGGTTCTTGGTCAGACTTTTAGCTCAGCTTTCTGACACTGAAAACTGCGGTGGAAGCATGAGAAAACTGAAAACTAGCAACTAGTTACAAATTCTTAAAACAATTTGGTTCTAAAATTGTAACATTTCGGAGTTTGAAAGTACTCTGGCTCATTCATCTATTTATTTTTATTTTTATGCAGAAGCACGGCTTACGTCTGATCTTTGTCGCTGAGCCGTCAGGATGAAGAAGCAGGACTTGCACACTTTATTGAGCTTGTTGCTGTCGTACTCCAGAGCGATTTTATTGTCGGAACATTTCCAACACACGACCTGAGAAAGCAGTGAGAACCTTACACCGAGAGCTTAAAACACAAGTCCATTTGAGAATAAAGTCAGTGTTACATTTCCACAGGCTCTGCAGTGGTGCCTCCTCCTCGTGAGCGGGTTGAAGGCCTCGTTACATTTCATACACAGAGTGACCTCGTTGTCTCGAATCCACTTGGGAGCGCGCCGGCCGAGTTCCTTCATCTTTTTAAACGTAGAGGAATAATGTCAACGCTTTAGTGGATACTGTGCTTCAATGAATGTACACCCAAACTTACAGGCTCCACTAGAACAGACTCGCGGGCAGCTGTTTTGAAGCTTTCATTTTTCTTGTGGAAAACACCAATGGCCTCTTGAATCACCTGCAGGAAAATTGTAAAATGTCTACGAAGACCTTTTTTAGGGAGAGTCCTTGACGGGTTCAACGCCATAAAACATAATGGCTAGGACGTTTTTCTCATATGGTAATGATATATTTTTCTAGCAACATCACCATGGAGACAAGCAGGTGGAAAACACTCCAATCGGAGAAACGATAACCCTAAAATATATTTACCTTTATCCATTCATCACGTTCTTCGGCAGAACTACATGGGAGCAGAAATGACATGTTCATTGTCGAATTGGTAAGACTTTCAAATCTTTTTAAAGCGTATATATTATTGCATCCCCCCCCCCCCCCCCACACACAAATGTTATCCAAAAAACAAATAAATGAGAATTGTACCAATCATATGTTGAATAATGTCAAATTCACAAACCGGATGACCAGATAGATCTATGAGCCCTCTCTGCACACCTGGCTTGCAGCTCCACCGTCTTCTCCTTCCCAGAGACTTGGAAGGTGAACGGATGACCTTCGTTTACCGTGGGCTGCACGTTCATGCCGTCCACGCCGATCCTGCAGCGCACCGCATACTTCTGCCCCACCAGACTGAACTTGGGCGAGCAGCACAGCAGGAAGTTGTTGAACTGTGGGACACAAAGCTACAGCTATAGACGACAGGGATATTATATGGCTTTGGCAAACAAGCAGAGTAGTGCACATAAACACCGCAGAAATGTTTATCATCTCTGTAAAAGGCAGTCACCTTTAGTAATATTTTGTGATACCGCTGAGGAAGGGCAGTATCCAGACACAACAAGATCACTATGTAGAAATATTTGGCCTTTACGATACAAACGTGAATTCATTTATAATTCATGATTTAATGTACATGATGGCCCAATGATTTATGATTAAAAAAATTAGAAAGCTGATTGGAAAGGAGAATGTCAAGTCAAATGAAAAAAAATCATGTGATGCTCAACTTCTTTTCTAAGTGAAAAGTACAATAAGTATTCTGCTATAGTGTTCCGACCAAAAAGAGCCGTCTCTCCATCGCAGCCGTGTTGCGGGCAGCGAGCTTGACCAGTCGCCCCTCCTTCAGGAACTCATTTGTGGGGTTGACCACCTCCTCCTCTCCCACCATCTCATAGACCTCCAGCAGCTTCCTCAGAGCCTCCTACACACAAACACGCAAACCTATGGAATGTGTCACAATGAAATATTACTGAAGGTGAAGGTTGTGTTTTTCATATAACATACAGCTTTTTCAATGGCGCTGTTTGAGTGAAGGGTTGCCATGGAAATAGTCTCCAATGATTCTGTGTCAAGAAAGAAATATATTACTATATGAAATTCAATAAATTGATAAATCCCCAATAGATTGTAGTAAAAACCTAATTATCTGAACCATATTGTGTCACTAGTGAAACAAACGGACATTAAAATGGTCAACTAAAATACATGATGAAAATATGAAATAATAACTGTAAACATGGCTGAGTGGGGGCAGGGGCAAAAGTGTGTAGACCATCCGTTTATCAATGTCTCCACACATAATTTTTCAACACTGGGATGCTTACTCTGAGCAGGCTGATAATCTGGGTGATCCTCTGGGAGTTTCTTCAGATAATCTGTGAGGAGAAGTTCATATCGAGGAAGTCGTTGCACCGGCTCCAACATGTGGTGCTGCAGGGTCAGGCTACCACACTCCTGCAGACTCTGAACACAATACACACACACACACACACACACACAATGTGGACCGAATCATGGCTTGCCTGGCCTGCCAAACGATATGCTTTTTCAAAGACATATATAAAGACATGTTCTTCTTTTGAACAGAAAGGAGGAGTGTCTGGCAGGCCAGGCAAAATCATGGCTGTATCAGGACAGAGCTGGGATCAATTAGGTGGTCAGTATTTCAGTGGTTCCTTTTTATACAGTTACGGCTACAGGTCTGGGCCGTTGGTGCAAACATCCCCTCCCTCTCCCGCCGGAATTTGGGTCAGCCACCAGCTGAGCTGCCCGCGGCCAATAAAACAGCAGTGCGAGAACTTTGATTTTGTACCAAACAGAGTCAAAAAGGAGTGACAAAAGGCACATTTTTTTGCATAATACCTTTTTACATTTTCTGCCATAAAAATAAAAAGGCCAATTAATTTATCATTTACACCTGGTTGTTTATGTTGCATTTCCTTTCCCCTTCTCAGAGCCAAGTTTAGGGTCGTAACTATTATGTAAGAGTTTCATCATCTCTGTTTATCATTTGTGAAACCAAATAGGAGGCATACAGTATGGTTTTATCTCAGTGTTCACATCTGTTGGTCTAATTGGATTCAGAAGCAAATTAAGCCATCATCTACTTTCACTGAACTGAAGTGAGAAGAGAACCAGTGCACTGTTTTCTCATTCACATATCCACATATTAAGAAAAAAAAAGTCCAAAGTGCATTAGTGTAGTAATCATTTGGACCAAGTCTGAATGCACACCTAGTTTAAATAAAATAACAAGGACATAAAAACAGAAAAATGCAGTGAAAACGATTGAAAATTGGTTCTGGCTGGATGGTTATCCCTGACCCTGCTACAGTACTGTTAAAGTCAGTTTCAGATCCACAAACGGCCAATCACAATGGGCCGTGGCCCGTCAGACGTGTCAGGAATAAGGCCAGCTACAGCGCTAGATGATGAGGTTAGAGTGGCGAGGGTTCACGGGGTATCTGGCTTTATACAGAATACTCAGTCTGTAACTGGAGTTGGGCCCTTGTGCACAAATCTACTGTACACATAAAGCACTGACCTGTAACTCCTGAATCACACTCCTGAAGGCAGCAGATCGCTCAGTCCAGGTCCGGACCAGCTCCAAGGACTGGCCGAAGTTTCTAACATAGTCTGCGTACATCCTCATGAAAGGCGCATGCTGCAGCAGGACACTTCCCAGACCGGGACAATCATCTCTGAATAAAAAGTACGGGGGAAAAAAAGTATGGAAAAAGACATCAAGTATGAAAAGCCAAAGGTTATTCTGTTAGTATGAATGAATATCTTTAATGTTGAGATGTTTGAGTTCACATTGGAAAAAACATTTTGGCGTAAAATAAATCACATTGCTGCTCTAGCGACGTACAAAAGGAGCCTCACTTGTTGCTGAGGCACTTCTCGAGGTCGGGGAGCAGAAACTGACTGTGGAAGGAGAAGATGGAGGAGATGTTGGAGAAGATGTTTTTGACGACTTCAGGGGGAAACGAGCCTTGGTTAGCTTCTTCTGTCAGACGTGAACAAAACACCTGGTGGTAATGTCAGAAACGTTAGTACTTCTTAGGCCCCGTCCCAATACTCGCACTTCCACCCTCGCGCCCCTCATTTGCGCGTTCCCGATAAAGTGTGCGAGTGCGTAGGGTGTCCCAATTCTCCAGGGAGGTCTTTGGCCCCGCCCCCTTTGCGCCCCTGATCCACACTTCGCCGTAGCCTGCATCTATGCGCACTCTGGCGAAGGATATTGCCCATAATTCTTTGCGGTACACACCAAAACGTCGGGAATATGCATTTAAATATACATTTTGAAATATATATGCAGTATGTGTGTAAATAAGTTTTGCTATGTTACTTGGAAAGAAGCATAAAAGTCTGATGAAGAATTACGGACATTGTGTTTTAACAATTTAATAACTTTTTAAAGCAAGAGTTCATATAACATTCAATTTAAACTTTACACTTAGTACAATAATTTTAGAATGTATAAAAACTGACCAGATAGTTAGTTACCCACATTTAACTTAAAATTATACAGCTATCTCTAATTAAAAACCACTAATATACATGTATTTTAACGTGTGTGAAGCAATTCAATTTGTTTCCCAAAGGGTCAGACAAAATTACCTTTAATGTTTATAAAGTTTAGGTCTGAAAATGACCATCTCTGACGAGTCGATGACGTAAACTGCACTCAGTGTGCACTGTCCCAATTCTGCCTTTTTTGCACACTTGCAACCTGCGCACTCAAACCCTTGCGCGCACTTCAAACAAATGCACACTTCATAGGAGGGCGTAGGGTGCAGTGTGGGTATTGGGACTGGGCCATAGATTAAAACTCATAATAAGCGTCCTTTTCTCACCTGGTCCAACAGATGCAGTCGTTCCACATACGCACGCTCCGTTTGCAGGAACTCGTTTGCTATTTGACCAAGTTTCTGTTCAGGATCGTTGGCTTCTGTCACGCTCTCCTTCACCTTTGGCTCCTCCTTGTGTTCAACCTCAGTAATTACATCTTCCGACCATTTGCAATAGAACTTTGGTGAAATTCCGACGGACCTTTTAGACTCTTCAACGTTGTCGTTTTCTTTCACAACTGTCTGCTTATTTACTTTGACTATGGAATCGCTTTGGAAATTGTTGGTTTTATTGATAATGTCTGAACCGGAAATATTGTTGGTCTCCAGAGGCTGTAGTGGAGAACGGTCTTTTTCCAGGTATATACTGGAAAATCAGAAGTAAAAGGAAATACACATTTTAAGATACAATAGAATAGTACATTTGATGCCACCGTTACATTTTTCATCTAGTGTATGTAGCTCATACCCTTTCTCAATGGGTTTGAATGTAATGAGAAAGTGAACAAAAGGTGATGGTTAAAACCAGACCAAGTTTAATATTTATAAAAATAATATATATATGTTTTTTAACGATTCCTTTTCAAATCAAGTGATCTACTTGTATTGTGTTAGCCATGTTTATCTTTTCATCTGCCACTTTTTCAGAATAAGGACAGTTCATCATTTATGTAATTGGCATCACAGTAGAATGAACAAATCAGAAGCTGATTTAGTTGTTTAAAATGTCGCCAAAAATGTATTTGTCAATCTTTCCTTTTGATTTTATCCACACTACCTGATATGTCCGAAATCTTTTCTCCAATCTATGATTATAATTTTAATTTTGAGTTATAACCTTTTAATCTCCAGATACTTGAGACTCAGAAAGCATGATATAATATATATATATATATATATATATAATATAGTCTCATAAAAGATTACTATGAAGACAACTGCTTGAATAAAACAAAGTAAAGACATGGAATAAAATAAAAAGTGGACATGTTCTATAGCGTGGAGATAAATTCTAGAGACAGAACAGTGGCATCTAACCTGCTTTCCTCCAGGTAAGAAATGAGGTCCGGCACGCTCAGAGACTTTGGACTGCTCCTAACTTCTCCATCAAAAAGTCTGTTTATTCCCAGCAGAGGTTTAGAGATTCTGGAGGGAGTGTAGGTCCACATCTTCCCAAAAACTGGACTGGGGGTCCGCATCAGACTGGAGACTGGACTTCTCTTTGGACTGCACTTTCTTTCCCTTCTGGGGCTACTGTTTGGAGCGCCGACATCGGCAGAGGACTGTGATGCCATGGTAGGACTAGGTGCACAATATGTAGTCTGTGACGTTCTGGCCGCACCAGAGTGTGGTGGTGATGCATTTTTACAGATGGGTTTCACCGGAGAGGGTAAGTAGAGGTTCAGGGATGGGTGGATGAAGCAGTTTGGACTCTTGTCTTTGGGCCGGTTTTGTAGTTCAGACCTTTCGGGAGTCTGGAGGTGAAGGGGTTTGGGCGGGACTGCAACAACAACAAAAAACACATAAGCAAGATTGATTAAATTGACTATACAAAAAATAGTAAAAAGAGGTAAGAGCATTACTCCAAAATATATATAGCAGTGAGAAGATTTTTGTGCAGTGTGGTGATAAGTTCAGTAGACTCCCACAGTCTCACCTCAGTCCTGCTCCGGCCTCTTAGCGCAGTGCCGTCTGGAGCTGTTTTATACAGCGTATGCAAAGCTTGTCACAGTTGCTACAGCGTTCAGACCTACAACCAACAGGTTTGATATCTCCACGATGGCACTTCAGCAGTCATAAGTTCAGGAGGTTAGGAAAGTTGGTGAGGGGTTTTACAGCCTTGAAAAATAAAGCCGCTACTTTTTGGATTTCTCTTATTGCAGGTTATTTTTGGAACCCCGGCCCACGACCTGAGGGACCACCGTAATGCACAGAGATCACTGTTCACCTTGTGGTTTGTGAAGGGATCTTTTGGCAGGGCTCCGATCCTGCCCTTCCTCAGGCTCCAGGCTAGACTGTGATGCTCCACAGAACTTAAAGGGATCTTTGCAGCTGTAGGAGAAGCGCAGATCACAGTCTGAAAGAAACATCAAATGGAAAAGATGTTCACAAACAAAACAAGAAGCAAATGTAATAAAAATTCTGTTCTGTGTTTAAACAGTCAGCGTGTGAGATACTTGCACTCGCAAAAGGTCTCATAAAAGCACTCACAGTGCTAATGCCCAATTTATTAAAATCAAATCAAAGGCCAATCACTCTAATCCTCAACAATCAGATTTTGTTTTTCAAATCAAGGCCACAGCAAACTCTGTAGAAGTTGATTGGAGATGTACAAGAAATAAATGTTGATTGGCATTATTACTTCTGTCATAATTCAATCTGCAAGGCTTAATTGATTTAAAAAAAACTTGATTGAGAAACAATACTTTGTCCTGGTCTACATGAGTGAGGCCCTGGCTGCGAAACTGAAGATAATTAGAAGTAAATTAGAATTTATATCCAAGATGGAAAAACAGATTTTAGCATGATCATTCTTGCAGCAGCACAAAATTATTTTTACATTTAAAAACAAAAATAAATTATTACAGAGGGACAGCAGTTAGATGGTTCAATCAGGCAAACCTAATCCCTGTCCTGTTCCTTGTAGAAATTGATCGACCACAACAATTGACTGATGTTATTTTTAAACTTGCTATGCTTAATATCAGATGTAACAAATCATTTTTAATTAAGTCACCACAGTCATGTTGCTATTGTATTGATCATTTTACCGAGTTGTTGTTTGCACAGACTTTGATTATAGGTGATTTTTATGTACATGTGGATAATGTTAATGACAGAAATGTAAAAGATGAGTTCTGTATTTGAGACCTTTTGTCACAAAGACCCACTACAGCAGAGGGCACACTCTCGACAGCTAATTACAAAAGGGGGTTAATATATCGAATGTTAATGTGGTCAATGTTGCTCGGTCAGATCATTTCTGTATTTTTTGACATGCGCTCAAAAAAATAGACTAAAATAAATTTCAATAGTTAAATAAAATTGGTAACATCAACGGCTTTTTACAATCTGAAGAACAAAAGCCAAAGTTAAAAATACAGTGTCCAAAGCAGATCTAGAGATCCTTATCCATGCATTTGTCTCCAGTAGGTTAGACTACTGTAACAGCCTGCTCACAGGTCTGTCCAAACAGGCTGTAAAACAGCTGCAGTACATTCAAAATGCAGCAGCTTGAGTCCTGACTAGAACCAGGAAGTATGACTTTGATAGCAAACAGCTTTGCTTGTGAACAAATCTCTCCATGGCCTCGCACCAAAGTACATAAGTGACATGTTAGTTCCATATGAACCAGCCCGGACTCTGAGGAGCACAGGGACTGCCCTCCTGCTAGTGCCCAGAGTCAGAACTACACATGGGGAGGCTGCATTTTCGATAAATACATATAACATTTGGAACAGTCGCCCTGAAAATGTAATAGAGGCGTCTACTCTGGCAATGTTCAAATACAGCTGTGCAAACAACTGAAGGATTTTATCCCTATTTTTAATGCACTGGGGTTTTTTATGTTTTAATTATTTTAATCTCTCGTGTGATCTTAATATTTTAATGTTTTTAATTATCTGTGATTGTTAATGGTGATTCTGGTGTTTGTTTTGTGTGATTTGTGCCATTTGTGCCTTGTGTGATGTGGACTGTGAAGCGCTTTGTGTTGCCCTGTGTATGAAAAGCGCTCTACAAAAAAAAAAAAAAAAAGTGATTGAATGGATTGATTTTATTACATTTTAAATGGGGGTTTGACCGACTAAGTAATCGATACATCTATAACTTAAAAACTGACAGTTTTATTAAGACTCAAAAAGAGCAGAAACTATAACAAAGTAAAAATGATTCCTTCTATTCTAGAAAATAGCGTTGTATGATAAAAGATAAAATGGAATGTCCTGTGGTGGTCAATCAATTATCAAATACAATTTAAATTAATTAACAGCAACATAAAGACCAGAAATGCAAGAAAATTTACTATATACATCCATGATTTATAAAGCCAACCACAGGTCACTTAACTCAAAACAGAATAGATTTTAAATGTTATTTCTGATCCAAGATCTCATTCGTCATGTGGAAAATGTTCAGCAACTGTTCTCACTTCTGTCTTTTTCTGCTTCTCTGTCATTTTAATGCTGACTGTCATAGTCGTGTCAAGTTAGGAGTAACCACGTGTTAAGTAAATTACACAAGAATTATGAAAGACACCACACTGCACATTGCAAAGGCAAAATACTACAGACTATAGACTATATTAGGAAGGGACAATAAAAGAATTAGGCTGAACAAAAAAATTAATAATAAATCAGTTTTATATAGCGCTTTTCTGGAGACTCAAAGACGCTTTACATGTCATTCTTTCACTCCATACACGGTGGTGATGAACTACTACTGTAGCCACAGCTGCCCTGGGCCACACTGACAGAAGCGAGGCAACCAGTATACTCCGTCTTGCCTAAGGACACAACGGCAGTTTGGCACTTTACAGCCGCAACCGCCCCACTGTGGCACCTGGTGTTCCCAGAGGTTAAGTGTCTTGCCAAGGACAACAACAGCAGACAGTGGGAGGTCGGTGAGGGTCGGGCTCAAACCCACAACCCTCAATGCTCTACCAACTGAGCTACTGTCGCCCTCGACATAAAGATGAAGCTGAACCTGAAATATCCCAAAAAACCATTTTTCTCAAATATCAGTGAGCACTGCTCCTTTGCCGAGATAATCCACCCCTTCTCAAATGTGTGGCATGTAAAAATAAATGAATAGACCTGTGTTTTTCAACCAGTGTCCTTGGCCTTTTAATTCAATATCAGCTCTTTTCGTCAAAACCTTATAGTTGTCAAAGAAAACATTGTATTTGTGCTTATTTGTTCACTATTCAGCAAACACGGATTACAATGACTTTGCATTGTTATTAACTATAAAGGGTTGGGGAACATTGGGTTAGATAGAAAGACTATTATAGAGGTGTCTTCGTACACCCGTGCAGCCCCTTGTCCTCATGAAGGCCTCCAGCTCCTTCCGTTTGTTGTTGTAACAAACTCATGTTTGTTCTGTTAACTGTTCAGGGCAGATGGCAGACTGTGTGGTGTTGTGTGGGTGAGCAGTTTACTGTCGTTATGGATCGAGGGGCGGAGGCCAACGAGGTTAGAAGGACCGTCCCCATCATAGGGATATGTTATGGACAAGAAACAGACTTGGCATTTTGTTTGTGTCATTCATCCACCACCATCACCTCATATTGCAACATGATTATACAGACCAATTTGGATCTGCACGCAATTTAGCTGAAAGCCTCACAGTTCTAGCATGGCCTCATTCCCACATGAGGTAGACATCTAAAATTGAGCATCTTTGTAATGCTCTGGATTGCTGTATACAACAGAGTGTTCAATACAAAGTCAATGGTGAAGTCTGACCATGCGAGGAATTGCATGTACATCGCGGGATGGACTTTTGTCCAAAGCAGAAGAGTTGTTGAGGCGATGGGTCTGGCAGCTAGATGTATGCAGCAAAATCAGGAGATGAGATTCACTGAACATCCTCGCTCCAAGTGTGGCAAGACGAGGCGGTTACGCACTCATAAATTGCAAAATGTAACTATTAAATAAAAGAAAGAAAAAGACCAACAACGCAAGGGCAAGGGTGCCTAAAACAACAAAAAGCGTACCAAGGCGCACAGGTTCGTTAACCATAATGAGGCAGAGGCAAATACAATTTGTCTTGATTTATTACATTATGTGGTATGGTTTAGTTCAGGTTAAGATTATTACAAGTCCACATGTAGACAATTGGTCACAATATGCACATTTCCTGTCACATTGGACTCAGGAGAAACATCGAGAAACAAACTTCGGGACAGAAACAAAGGAGAAACAGTGAAAGAAACAGCGTTGGGCGGCGATGTGGCCAGTGGGGGCGGGTCCCACCTAAAAGTGGCCAAAATGACGTGCGCTGACATGCTTGCAATACCACCCCGGGCCTGTGGGGGTGGACCCGGAATAAGAAATAGCCAATGCTAATATAGCATCTTCTTACCTCTCGATAACATCTTTACAGGATGGTCCAAAAGTTGGATCTTGGCCCAAAGCTCTGTTCCACATGTGTGTCAAAGCTGAGGGGGGTGAATTTTTTTGGACCACTCTAGTTTAGTTGTTGTGAATTTTTTAAAGGCACTCGTTAAATGATTGGAGCTTGCGTCGGCTGACGCAAGCGCAGATGCATTTTGTCACAATTTTCTTGTGGACGGGACCACTCACGGCCATTTTGGATAGCTGCAGTAGAGTACAATTTTTGGCCCATTTGTTTGAACGGCGGAGAAAGGCGTGACTCTGTCCGTTAATATTTACAGTCTATGGTCAAAACAGGAAGATGTAGACACTCGAAAACAGCCAAAACATGGGCTAAACCAGAAATTAAGCAGGGCTGACAATGGGGGACGCAGTGCTTGTGAACACACCCCGAGTTGACATTCTACTGCGACTGTAAACTAGTGCTGCTAACGTGTTCGCAGATACTGAAGTACCAGTTAGCATCAAAGCCCTGCTCACCACTTCCACCCTGCGTTTTTCCCAATCGCAGGGCAGTATGACAGATTATCTAAACTCATGCGGCTGAAATTTAGTGAACACATATCCACGCCTCCATTAACTCCATCCATCCATCCATTTTCTTCCGCTTTATCCGTTGCCGGGTCGCGGGGGCAGCAGTCTAAGCAGAGACGCCCAGACTTCCCTATCCACACACACTTCCTCCAGCTCGTCCGGGGGGACCCCAAGGCGTTCCCAGGCCAGCTGAGAGACATAGTCCCTCCAGCGTGTCCTAGGTCTTCCGCGGGGCCTCCTCCCGGTGGGACGTGCCCGGAACACCTCCCCAGGGAGGCGTCCAGGAGGCATCCGGAACAGATGCCCGAGCCACCTCAACTGGTTCCTCTCGACGTGGAGAAGCAGCGGCTCTACTCCGAGCTCCTCCCGTGTGACTGAGCTCCTCACCCTATCTCTAAGGGAGCGCCCAGCCACTCTGCGGAGGAAG